TCCCGAGCAAAAGGTCTTGTGCATCAGTATGGCAAACAACGAAGGACAAATCACATGTGCGCGAGAGGGAAAATGATTCGCTGGGATGACAACCCACGAGGACAGAGAAACCATGGTACGCTGTAGTGATTCGGATGTCCAGTGAGCGTGGTCCTGAAGGTTGGAGCGATGTGCATCAATCAACTGAACGCAGATCAGTGAGGAGACTGGAACCATGTACACGCCAGCGGCGGGCTAGTTTGCGAAGCTGTGTGGTGAAACGCTGATGTAGCATGTCAACATCGCCAAAATACTGATCCTTCATGGACGCAGTCATGATGTCAATGTCGATGTCCGCATTGATGCGTGAGAACTCATCTACCATTACGACATGATCATGTGCGCGATGCAGGTGGCGGTCATCAATGTCTGAACAGCGACACGGGAAAGACATGTCAGGAGTCCACCTGCGTTGCCATGTGCCTAGTTGTAGATCCTGTCCCCCAAGGTAGCGCTGCGAGTTTCCACCACACGGATCTTTGGAAGAAATAAGGAGGGAAACAAATCACGATGCGATGCAACCCAACGTTGCAACCATGTGCCAAGCTGAGCTTTCCAATTTGGTACATGTAGAGGTGGGAGAAGTAGTTGTGTCAAAGTGCTTGGTGACTGAAGTTGTCGTTTACGCATAACCTGAGCGAGGAGCTTCTGTGCCTTAGAACGGAAAGGCTCGTTGACGAAGACGGAGAGTCGTAGGAAGTAGTAGAGCTGAGTGGGTGGAAAAGCCGCCGACAGCAAATCGCGCATAGTCTGAAACGACGCACCGTTGGATCCCAGCTGATAAAGAGTGGAATAATGTGCTTGAATGTCATCCAACATTTCGGGTCGTAATTGCCGATGAAGATCCGGATGTAGTCGTCGTCGGAAGCGCTTGTGTAGCGAGAGTGAGGTAGGAGATGACAACGAATGACGCCGAAAGTCAACCAGATGCTCACGGAAGCCAATTTTCCGAAGGAGTCTGTGTACCCAGGGGGGAATCAAATGCGGACGTAGCAAGTATTGCCACTTGCTTTCCTGGACCGAAACCGAGGAAATGGGAAGTTTGATCTCAACCGGAATGGCACAGAAAAGCCAGTAAGTGTTGGATCGCTTCCAGTAGTGAAGTGCAGGTTCGAAGCAGGCATGGCGTCCCCGAAGTAGTTGTAGAAATTTGCGACTGCGGGAGTGTTCTCGTCGAAGAACATCCTGATCTGTTGCTCCAACGTAGTAGGGACTGTGCCATGGAGAAAGTCTGATGTAGACGCATGGCTGTTGATGGTGACCTGGATCCTGAATGAAGTCATAGAGGTCCGGGAAGCGTGTCCGTAGTGATCGAAGGTGTCTGATATCCGCAAAAGTGGAGTGCATGATTTCACACAACAGAGACGTCTTGTAGAAGTGAAGAACCTCGAAGAACGGCGGGACGTACCCATAGTCTTGAGAAATGAGACGCTGCAAAAAACTGATCAATAGATAGGCAGTGCACCGGCATCTATGAAGTTCATACCTGTTGGCCACAGTGTGGTAAGACCGCGACATGGAGTGCATCGGAATCTGAAGTGCGATCCGAACCACAACTAGCACTTCCAGGATGAGGCCCAGCCGAGGTAGTCGCTCAACTGACTCATATTCATCTATTGGTATCGACGGTGGTGGAAGTCCAGGAAAGCAGTATTGCCAGCACGTAGAGAACATTGTCAACGAGTGCAGAAAAGTATCTAAGGAAAGCCTTGTGCAACATCATCATAGATTCCACAGCGGCGAAGCTCAGCCAACATGGTGGACATGCAACCAATGAAAACTACAACGTGGCGGCGGCAGAAATGCAAGAAGCAATGAGCACCAAGCAATTCACAACGCAAGCAAAGACAAGCACTTCATCAAAGAAATGCAGAGCTAGAAGAGGACGGACAAGTTTTGAACCGTTCATCAATCATGACACAACTGCCACTCCGGGCTCATAAGTGAGCGAAGGTAACTGCTCACCCTGTGAGTAAGCGGGCAGTCACGATGAGGTGACACAACGCTTTGTCAGTGAGCTTGGTGATGTAGCCAGGCTCCAGTCCCCACAGAGCTGCCATCGCCGCAATCGTAGGTGCGTCTCCTTTTGGGGTGCGTTGGCGCGCCTGAAGGAGCTGGGTCGACATGGATTCTAAGGACTTGTTGCCGTTGAGACGGGATGGGTGATTGGCCCACTTGATCAATGACGCCAAAGTAGTGGTAGTGGGCGATTGCTTGAGATACAAGCGTGGCTGATCACTGGTCCATGTGTAGTACTTGATGACGTCTTCTGGCGTGCTGTGCATGGTGAGCAATTGTGACGACGCCGGCTTGGAAGGCGGTGAAGAAAGCCCGTCAAGAGACTGGATGATTCGGGGTTGCACCGCGCCATCAAACGACTTGCCATCGAGGGCCGCTGCACTGGCCGTAGGTAGGGAGCTGGTCGGTGACGAAGATTGTGTGTGGTTGGCCGGTGGTGGTGTAACCAACTCTGCATCATCTTTCTGGGTTGGCACCGCAGGGGAAGACGAAGCGCGTAGCGATGCCGAATACTGAGCCTGGAGAAATTATGAGCTCGATGTAGATCATTGAGCTTCTTGACCATGTCTTCTGCTTGGGTAGAGGGCGTGATAGTCGCGTGGTGTTGCTGAAGAAACTAAGCACCAGGTTGGCCAAATGGTCGTGAACCTTGATACGCTGGTTGAAGTCGTCAAGGTTGAGCCCCAGCGAGTTGGCAAGGTCCTTTTCCAAAGTAAGCAGGTTGATCGACTGTGATCGTCGTAGTAGTTTGGAACAGGTACTCCAAAGCAGGGCCTCGGCGCGAGTGCGAAAGCCTTCCCACGTCACGAATCTGCCGTGAGCAAATGGTCGCAGTAGCCAGTTGGTGATGCCCCCGTGAATGACCTGAACCAGGCGAACGTCTCGGATGTCCATGCCAGACATGTCACGTAGATTGTTGTGCGGGGTGTTGGCAACCGTCATGGGCAGGCTAAAGGAGTAGAGCTGGTTGATGTCTAGCATGCCATCACCAGGTGTCCAGTCAAGCGGTGGAGTAAGCCATGCTTTCTGAGGTCGAACTGGCAGTGCAGCTGGGTGTCCAGGCGATGGTGAAGCTTGGGAAGAAGTAACCGGTGGTGGCATCACGGGCGTCATGAACTTCGCTGGCGTGGGCTCCGGAGGAACCGGCATCATGTAGTTGACCGGTGAATGATGAAATTGCTGCGTAGGGTTTGGATTCGATTGATAATTGCCTGGCATCACTGGAAAAGTGTTGTTGGAGTTGTAGCCCGAATTGTGTTGCCAGGATACCAAGTTGTTCCAATCCATGCCCTCCGAGACCTGATTGTCATTGTGTTCACGTCGGCGTGCTTTGCGAGACTGAGGGGAAGGACTCCGATCCCGTCTGCGCCGAGTTCTGGATCTGTCACGATCATCCCGACGCGACGTGACAAAACAACAACACGTTCGAGAAGGACAAAGCTCATCCTTGAGGCAAGATACAAACAACAAGCCACAATCAACGGCAGCTCATGAAAGCAGCGGCAGCCAGCGTGGTGAAACGTAGCTATGAAGAGGTGGCTGTCTTCCCTTTAGTGAAACCTCGTTCCTGGTTAAATGTGAAATTCCGCTGATCTATGATAAGCACGTTGAGGTCAAATTTTCTGACAGAGCCGGCCCGGGGTCACACGATGGGTACACCCGAGGATTCCCCACGAATGGGGTGTACACACTTAAACTCCAAATGGAGGGTGCTAATCTTTCGAGTACAACTGGTAAGTTTCGGCTTGGATAAGGTTCTTCATGCATAAGTTTCGGCTCGCAATGCACTCGGCTTCCCTCTAGTGTCGAAAACGTTACCCGAAAGAACAAGAAGCACAAACAGCGCCGCAACCAAGGGGCCAAAAAGACTTTCAGAATCACTCAAAAGGTGCAGGTACACAAGGCTGATCAGGCCTTGCTTCCCACTCTCACCCACAGCTTCATTGCGTGTGGTAGGATAAGAGTGCCACACGCCCCTGCGCTCAATTGTGGTGACAGGGTATTCTGCCACTCCCCACACACACACACACCGTTTCGGCATGCGCTCAGGGGCATCGAGTTTGTCAAATGTTCTGACCTTGCCCCAACGGCCAGCCATGTGAGTCTCCAATGGCCAGGCCGGTTTGCGAAACAAACCAAATATCATCTGGCCAACTTGCCAAACGGTGACAAATGGTATGATTGGGCTCAAAAGCTAAGATCATCATGGAAGGGCAGAGTGCGAGCGCAAAGCAGATATATTCTAGCTAGTTGGAGCTCAAGGACTAGCAAATCTAGTGGGTGTCGGAGATATTATGACTTGCCCTGGAAGGCGGGTGAGTACAGGCCATTTCAGTTCATCGTAGTCTTCTCTGGGAGCATGCATAACGGGTGCCACTCCAAGGTCAGCAACCGGTTTTCACTTGTGAGGCAAAAGGTGGAATTGGCTGATGCTGCCAATTCCAAGTCGTACATCACTTAAAGCCTAATACAGGGGTAGCCACCTCTGCGCTCTTCATTTCTCTTTGAAGGGATTCAGCGAAATTCTTTTGGGCTGGAAAGCCGCATCCACTCGAAAAAAAAATCCTTTCGCATTTCTTTTTACAGCAGAAGCGAGAGCCTGGCGAGGCATCTATGCAGCGTTTCAAAGCAATTGGCTGCTTAGAACTCCTGACAGAGCTTGTCCAAAGGACACCTAACATATTCTTCCATTTGCTTAAGCACCCTGGCATTAAAAAAAAAAAAACATCCAGTAGTGATCGATTCCTTTTAAAACCAACAGGGGAAAACAACAAATATTCTTAAACAAATGGAAGTATTGGGGTGAGATATCTAGCTGACCATGCTACAAGGCTTGCTGGTGCGATAGCTAGGGAATGATCTTCCGGGTGGTGTTTTGAATGAACCTAGGGATTCCCTTAACCGAAACCATAGACGGGGTGGTGTTTGTCGTCTGGCTCATTTCAACTCCTTCCCTGGCTATCGAACCAGCAAGAGCATCTGACAGAACTGCAACTTTGGCAGCTCAAAGTCCTACGCTCCAACTGATGTGCCTTTGACATCCTCTGAGCTTGACTCGCTGTCATCCGCCTCGGGGTATTGACTCACTGGACATCCCCCCAAATGGGTTATTAGATCTTAGGCCGTTCATTCATGTGGTGAGGAACTTAATAACTTCTGCTGCCCACATACCCCTCATGTCTACATGCCACCTCAGACCAATCATGTAATGCCGTGTACACGCCAATGTCAGGGCCTTTGGTTGAGGTCGGTTTCAAGCTGGAGCTTGCGAGTGTTGTGGTGAGAGATCCGCAGCCCCTCAACAAAAGGCGCAAAAGCAATAACATGCAAACAAGGCAGGCGGTCAACATTCAGCATCCTCCATGCCTGTTGCCTGTGTTGTCATGAGAAGGTGCTGAAATCTCTTAGCTATTAATGCGGAGGATGGGCACAGTCCCAGTCATAACAAGCCTCGCAATGGTTGCCTAAATTTCCTCCTCAAAGGGGAATGATCATGTCTCAATCCCAAACCACCAAAATACGCACGTTATGACACACGCACCTACGCGCACGCACACACACACACACACACAGCGTAACATAAATCCGCACAAGCTTGTCCTGTCGCGGCCCTTTTAAAAGCTGAGCCGCTTTGATTTTTTCGAACTCGCGCGCCGGGTGAAGTCCCATCATCTCCATGCCAAAGATCTGCGCACCTCAGAGGCACTTGGGGGGGGCGTGTGGAGGGTAGCGGGACTGCGCCCCCCGTTTCCGGGCTGGTTGACCGTACCCGTGATTTGCAGAACCGGGAAGCCCCATGCAAATAATGTAGAACTTTGCCCTAATGGCGGCACCAAACCCAAGCCACCGAAATAAGCGCGGTGGGCAAACCACCCAATCAAGGCTAGCTGTTTGAGTCCAGTGCATGCGTGACATGACATGAGTTTGCCTGTTTCTTGAATATGATATTCTTTAGTATTCAAACGAAGAATATGTCCTGCTGCAGCAAATTCGGGAAGCTAGCTTTGCATCAAGGGTACTTTGTGCAATTCCTTCTCAGCGCTGGTGAGATCAGCATCGTGATACTTGTTCGGAACCCAACGGGGGGTCATCTTCAGCCATCAGAAGACGAGCAACGCTCAGCATGCATCGAGTAGATTGGCCAAACAAGTGTCCATGTTTGTTCTTTGCCGCCAAAATATGGTTTTCCAACAAAAAGCGACTCAAGTTCAAGAACTGAGGACGTGAGTCATAATCAAAACCCGGTATTAAAATGGTCTACCCAGAACCACGTAAAGAAATTGAGAAGGCGGCCGAAGCTATTTATGGCTGGGTTTATCCCTTACTAACTAACCTTCATCTACCCAGGTTTTGATTTTGTTTGGAGCCCGAGTAAGCCCTACTTCTGATGAGTGCAGCGGGCCCTGCCTAGCTGCACCATGCAGGAAGGAGCCTCTGCTTCTGGCGGCTCCTGGCAGGTGACTGAGGGGGATCAATATTCCACGCAGGGCCCCCAGTTTTGACCATAGGTAACTTCAAACTTCAAATGTTTGTGGTGGTTTTCCAACCAATGGTCATCCCATGTCACCATGTATCACAGACCTTTTGATCAACCCCCATTCATCCGTACCGTTGACCTGTGGCACGCTGCCTTCAGTCTTCATTCTAGCAAAGGTCCAACGAGGGTTCATTAATATGGGTATGGGTCAAAATTAAACCACCAGTTAACCGCAGGTTCTAGTCCTGGGTTCTATTTGCCAGGGTTCCAATTTTGGGTACCTAATTTTGACCCAATCACAGCGGGGGGGGGGCAAACGCCTGTGTATGGGCGGTTTCCTTTTGATTCCCCTTTTTAATTGGGTCCCAAAGCTAGTGAACCTGCAAGAAGACATGGAATTATTTTATTGGGCGGTGGCCGTATTTTCAGGGACACCCCAGATTCATTTCTTAGTGTCTCGTTGGGGGGGCGTGGGTGGGTTGGGGTGGCGGGTTACACCAGAGAAAACAAATTGAGGTAAGGGCGATGGCGCCGGTTCGCAAAGTGAACCGCATCCGCGCAGTACCAATGCCACTCTCACGGGGCATGGGAAGGTTCAGGCTCGCTCTTGATGTTGTGCAGGAGCTTTGGGGTGGATAGCGGTGGGCCCAGGGCGAAGTCTGGAGATGGTTTGGTTCATACAGGGAACTGGGCAAGCCTCCAAAATGAGTGGTTTCCCTCAAGCGTGTCCCCTTCAACCCCCGCCCCCCCAGAAAAAGGGTGAACGCAAAGAGCGGACCATACGCAACACGGGAATCATTGACGCGTTCGTTGCGCGTGCATCAGAATGAACCTTGACTTGCTTGGTTTGAGACGTGCCACACTATCTGCTGGAAGAGCAACTTCCAACAAAGTAGAAACAGTTTCCTGACAAACTCTCAACTCTCCACTGTCCGATGAGGAAATCATTTTGAAAGAGCAGCATGATGCAACTGCCAGGTCTGCAAGGCTCTAGTGAAAAAGAACAACAGCCGCCGAGCCAGCTGTTCAGTTTCTTGATGTTGATCCACGCCAGGCTCTGATCTGTCCTTAAATCTGAACTGCCCTCAGACTGCTAAAAGTTTAACTTTTCGGTCAAATGGAACCCCCACTAAACACGAAAAGTCTAAAAAGCTAAGGAAATTGATGGCTGGGAGCCCCCGAGAAATGTGACGCCACATTCACCCAGGATCACTGACACATACTTCCTGCAGCTTCATGCAAAGGAGACACGCCCTGCGTCCAGACTTTGCAGAGGCCGTAGGTCAACACCAATGCTACTATTTTGGGGTAGGTGCACCACCCATTTTAGGATTGGGATGTTCACTGGGGGTACGGGGTTTTGACCCATTGCCATGTAGGCAGGGAATTCCTCTCCCAGCAGCAAACATCTGATGGAAGTGTGCACCAGGCACCGTTTGACGCCGGTCTGTGCACTTCCACTTTGGTGGGAGGGACAAAGAGTCCGAATGCCAGCGAATTGACGAGTCAAGTGACTTGAACTGGACTGAATCCTGTGGACATTGAAACCAAAAGGACAACTACATTTTTTGGGGGGTCTAGAAAAAAAGGTGAGCCATCCGCACAGCGAGGGAGGACAAAAAAGTTGGCCTGGCTTGCGTACCAAAGTTCCTTCCCGCCTCCAGGACATCCCAAATGTCTTTGTTGGCCCGCGCCTCACCTGGCGAGGCGCAAGACCTGTCCTGCCAGAGACCTCTTAGGCGCCGCGTGGAAGCGACAGCTACGAAATCCCGAGCGAAGCATGGGATAGGCTGTCTTAAGCTATCCAAGAGCAAAACAGGTTGCAGATTTCTGAGATGTCAGCTCTAGCCAACTGCAAGGCTACTGGAATCGAAATCTGCGTCTTACTGACATGTGCTTGTGCTGAGTTTGTAGGTTGGCAGATCTAATCCGAGGCCAACGTGTTGGGGAAAATGTCCTGCCTGACTGGTCGTCTCTACCCAGGATGATGTCCTTGGCAGTCAGAAGCACTGCGCCAATATCGCAATATGCTGCGGGGCAGAACGTTGCCTGAAGGTTAAAACTTGCCGTATTCCTCATCTGCTGGGAAACGATTGGCAGGGTATGGCAAAGTAGTTCGATGGGACTGGCACAAGCCTAGCCACATCCTTTTTCCCACATCCCAGTTGTTCAGTGACCCTGGAATAAAAAGGGAACCCTTTTTTGGGAAGACCATTTTTAGTGGGGCAGCCACAAAAAAAAAAGGAGAAAAGGAGTGGCACCGAACAACTGAGACATCCCTATCCTTGCAATTCGCTCTGAGGAATCGCTGAGGCCAAGTCCATGATGCCCCGGAGCTGTGAGACCTCGCGAGCGGGGCCGAGGTGCCAGGTCTTGACTCACGGGCCGCCTGCGAATTGTTTGACTGATTCATTGTGCAGCTCCGGCAACAAACACTTAGCCCTTAAAACTCCCTGCGCCCTGGGGAAGTTAATATTTTACGGACAAATATAGCCCATGTTACCCAAGAAGTTGAAAAGTTGTGCGTTTAAGAGGTAAGAACACAAGGCCAGCCACCAGCTGAGCATACCTCAGCGGGCTGTCCTCAGCAAAAACGACCGACCCTGTTGAGTAGATGCCCGAGCTCATCATTTGCACTTCGCGCTGGCCCAGCCAGAAGGGTGCGGACCGGAGGCCCCCACCAAAATGTCCGATCTGAAGCTCCATTTGCTTCAGTCCCCTGGCAAATATACAGATATTTCCAGCAGTGATAGATTCCCTATAAAACCAACAGGGGAAAATCAAAACATATTCTTAACCAAATGGAAGTGAATGCGACTTCCGTGGTCTTTGGTGACTGGCCACTTTGCAGTGAGGGGGCCCTTGCCATCAACCAATTGTGAAATCGTCCAATCGCAGCCGAAGCCGAGAATCTGAGAAGGCTGACTGACGGCCGACGCCCAGGACGCTTGCAAGTTTGACTCAATATGGAGAAAGGGCCTGGAGGGCGCCTGGAGGGCTCGATGATAAGTTGGTGGGGGCTTGGGTTACGGCCCCCCACTTGTGGCACTTGCTCTCAGGCCGGAACCCAAGGTTCGTCGGAGGTTGTGTTCCACTGGTGGTCCACCTTGGTCGACTGATTCAGGTGGCTACGAGAAGCTTGGGATCACTCGGGCTCACCATGTGCGCTGCCGACAGATGGGTTCTGGAAAATCAGTCTGTGGAATACGATTTGAGAAAACACGTGCGACAAGTCATCACACGAACGACTTTGAGAATGCTCATACTATTGAAAGGGCATGATGGTCCGGGGACCATGTCGAGCACCGCCAATATACGGACAAGATGTTCGTTCCACCATGTCATAGACGCATTCATTCCCTTGCTCAAATAGCAGTGAATTGTGCTGAGGGCATGTAACGCGACTCTGCACCAATGCTGTTACCCCTTGTTACACAGGTATGTAGCGGGAAAACTGGGTTTGACATTTCTGCAGCTCCAGCTCGCAAGTAGCAAGTGTTCAGTACACGCGTGGCACGTTAAACTTTTTAAACCGTAGTACAGCACACACTTCAGAAGTCGCAACTCTTGAGTACAAGTGTAGTACGTCAAGCACGCGCCTCCACAGCTCCAGCGCGAAAGTCGCAACTATTCAGCTCAATGGGTCGGGCATGTAACGAAATATGTAACGACTATGTAACGAGGTATGGCACAGTAAGAAAATTATTCTAGCGCCGCCTTGCTACCTGTTCCAGCATGTTCCAGCGAGCACTGCTCTTCTGCTGATCAAGTTCTCTGCAAGTTGAGTCGAAGTCCGTGCCAGGTTAGGCCTGCTCCGCCAAAGTCTGCTCTGCAAGCAATCATGGGAAATCCTTCAGGAACTCTGTACGCATCGAGGTATGCAAAGGGGCATGCAACCAGCCAGGCGGTTTTGTTTCGCAGTGTGTAACAGGGTGTATAGGTAACGAGCCAGGTGGTCTTGCAACACAGGGAATGTAACGGGGTAGGTACCGAATGTCCGCGACGCCTCTTGAAAACATCCGAATCACCGAGGCCGCTGCAGCCTCGAGCAAGACTCCAGTACCAGGCTCCAGTAGGGAGCCGCCAGGCTCGCTCCAGCCTCTGACGCAGTTGCAACCTTTAGCAACGCGCCAAACCTGAACTCAGCTAAAAAACCCAAGCAAAGCACGAGCACGCGGGCACCAACACTGGGATTCACGGGCACGTGAACATGCTCCGGTCGATTATTTGTCAACCAAACAAAGTGGACACATCCGGCAACAAGAAGCCAAAGTAAGATCTTTCCGAATGCCCACAAAACTGAATACTTAAAAAGAAAAGCAGCGCTCGTCTTCAAAGTCGATGTCGTCACCGTCGGTGTCAAGGACAGACACGATTCGTGCACCTGGCCGAGCCAACGGACAAATACAAATGCAACGCAGAAGCATCCACAATCACACAAACAAACACACACACACACACAGACGCAACCCCATACCAACCTACAAACACAACAAAAAAACACACACGCCCGAAAATATACATACATATACATATACATAAACACACACACACAAAGACACACACACACACACACGCACATGCACATGCACATGCACATGCACATGCACATGCACGCGCGCGCGCATGGCACACCAGGGTATTGAAACATGGATATATTTTATAGCTCTATGCTATCAAACGGGCAGTGTATATTCCTGTAAAGCAACGGAATCATGCATATAATCATTTGCAGTGCTCCGTTTCAGACGCCACGCTCACGGTTGAATCCAATGCAGCTATGAGAAGCCAAACTTTACGAGTGCACAATTTCTCTCTGGGGAAACTGCCAATTCTGATGATACGGTCTGGGCCGAACGATGCCGAATATAGATGATTATAGATGCCTTCCTGTATTGGAAAACCAATGACCGAGCCCTGCGCCTTTGGGAATTGTATGCTGCTTGGACTCGGTCCTTGGTCTCGGTAAGCACCGCATTGGAACCCATAGATTTGTCAACCAAATGCTGGCGCTTCGAGCCATTGTCACGGAGTCGTTTGCCACAGGCCAAGCCAAAGCCTCCGTCCGCTACGTGCAGCTGGGCCGCACTCGCAGGTAGCCGCCTTCATGAGACGCTAATCGCACCACATCTGCGACGATCGCCCGTCGCGAAAGTCCATACCTCGGAGAGCCCGTGGCATCAGCCTGTGGACACCTACCTCGACGCAGGCAAACGTCTGAGGCACAGCTTTCCGGCAGAAACCCAACAGCCCAACAGCCAAACAGCCCAACAGCCCAGCAAAAGCAGCCGTCTATGAAAGGTCCACCCTCCAGAAGCTTCTTTCAGAAAGATTGACCCTTCCTGCTTGCCAGCACCTCAAGCCAGTTCAAACGGAAAGCGTGGCACACCGCGAAGGGTGTGTAAAACCAAACTTGCAAACAATCTTCGCAAAAATGTCACCCAGCCATTCCGCACGACCAGCACAACTCCCTTGAGGCGGCCTTTCTTGGATTGTGTCCGCTATGATTTGCCCTCGCGGGCCTCTAAGTCACAGAAAGCCTGCCTATGTCTGCCTGGAGGCTCCTGGGCTTCGCTTCCCCGGAGAGGAAAACGTCTCTTATGCCGAGGTCATGTCCAAACCAACCGAGGGGAGCAGTCGACCCCCGATCTCCAAGCTGCGGCTTCTGTGTCACGGACAAGGCCTCAGGACCCCGACAAATCAAACATGAGAGTTCTGGTGGTTTGAGGGCTTCTTTCTTCCAAAACAAAACGGATCTATGACTGGGGGGTCAGTGATGAAAGGATGCCATTGATTCGCTGTGAAGTATCAATTGCTTGAATGTTGTCGGCACTTGATCTGATTTATTGAGCCCTTCATCCAACATCAGCCACACATCAAGCTTTGCTGTTGCCCTGAAATCATGCTTACGCAGCAAGATCAGAGCCGCCGGCTGCCAGGTACATCTGAGAGAACTTGGGCATGAAGACCTGTGCAGGAACAATGCTGCTATCACTGCCAGCCACGCTAGATGATAACAATCTCTCACACACCAGCTTGTATCACAAGTGTACCCTGCTACGTATTTATATTCCTGGCTATGGATATCCATGCCAAAAGCCATGCAAAACAACAGCAGCTCTGGGTCTCGTTTCCGATCCGAATCGCGAGTTTGGACGTGTGGGTGACATGAACCATAAACCAAACACTTATTCGGCATTGTTTTTTCTTCACCGATCGAACAAATCCACATAAACCGAAGCCTGGGTGGCCTCAAAACCAACGTGTCTGGCATGAAAAAACATATTCCAGCATAGACCCCAAACAGATTGCAAGAACACCATGATACACTACACAGGTCAAGCCAACATTGTGTTATTGAACATGCGTGTACTCAAAATATCCATGATGCCAATGATGCCAAGTGGCATCAACAATCACATGAAAACAAAAAAAACAACACATGCATTTTTTTAAATGCGCGTATTCATATATCTATGTATATTTATAACGGTGAGACGGCTTGGGCGCCCGGGCGAAGCCGAAGCCATCGATGGGAGGCCCGAAGCCCGGCCAGAAGGGCGGAGCACGGGAACGAGTCGTGGCCTCGGCCCAAGTGGGCCCTCCCGTCTGTTTTTGGGGGGTCATGCTAGAGGTCACCAACCCCATTTGGCGTCTAGGCTTGTTTCTTCTTTTTTTCGGAGTTGGTGAACCCCATTTGGCGTCTAGGCTTGTTTCTTCTTTTTTTCGGAGTTGGTGAACCCCATTTGGCGTCTAGGCTTGTTTCTTCTTTTTTTCGGAGTTGGTGAACCCCATTTGGCGTCTAGGCTTGTTTCTTCTTTTTTTCGGAGTTGGTGAACCCCATTTGGCGTCTAGGCTTGTTTCTTCTCTTTTCGGAGTTGGTGCACCCCATTTGGCGTCTAGGCTTGTTTCTTCTTTTTTCGGAGGGGTTGGTGAACCTCATTTGGCGTCTAGGCTTGTGCTTTTGTCTTCTTTGTTTATCCGAGGGGTTGGTGAACCCCTATTGGGCGCCTAGGTTTAAATACCACCCATCCACTTAAGGGAAAGTTCAGAGGAAACATGCACAGATTTTGAGGGCCCCTATTAGAGACTATCTGACCCAAACAACCAACTTCGGACGGGTGGTGTCATTTATGTCCTGTCTGGCCTGAATGAGTAATTCGGAGACACATCTCTTGGCAGGATAGATCAGGCAAGGGTTCAAACATGACATGCAGATTGTGAACCAGCTGCAGCGATTAAGACTAAGAATCCCTTGGTGCAGACTCATGGAAACAGTCCAGTTCAGCCATTCAGTTGTGTTCAAAGTCACCAACTTTGGAAGGATTCGCAACAATACGAGAGCCGGTTGCATCTTCGCTGACATTTGCAATCGATCAGCCCCATGAGCGCGGTGCGGACCAAAGGAACGTCTCAACCCAATCCACTGCCATGTCAGATCCATATCTGTCAATCAAACATCCTCGACAACACGGACCGCTTGCACATGCATAAAATCTTCGTCCATTGCCAAAAAACATGTTTCAAGGCATCTCAATCAAAAGAGGCAGCTACTACCAGCTTGGCTGCTTCCAGCAAGGGAGGCAAATCAAACACAGATTGGGTGTCTTTTTTGAGAATGCCCTTGTTGTAGTTGGCTTAGGGTGCAACGCAAAGAAAACTAACCATTTCAGGAACTGCTAGTCCATTTGGAGCTAACGGCACTGCCAAGGAGGAAGCCAACTGCCACGCCGGCAGAGAGGCTGCGGCTGTCTGCCGTAAGCTGCCCGACAAATGCACGCATCGACGCCCAAATTTCAAATGTTTGAGACCTGGTGTACATCTTCGGGCTTGATTGCCCACTGGTGAGGCCCCAACACCAGAAGCAGTGTCCAGAATCACCAAGAACCCAACACATGAATCCGAGGAAGTATGGGCAAAACATCGCTGGTCACCGGCCTTCCCTCATGTTTGATCACTTTCCCGGTGGTTTGCTTGCCACAGCGCCACGTTAGCTCCAAACGTTAAACGCCCGGCCGGAGTTTTTGAGCTTCCGGGCGTAGGATTCGAGGCTGCGATGCGCCAAGCTGGTAATGGTTAAGCCCGCGTGGTGGCCCATCATCTCCTCAACAGCAATCGCTGCGAGAGATGCAGAGAATGAGAAATGGAACGAGGAAAACCATCCAATTGGTGATGTGTATTTTATGTGGGAATGCCCAGGTTCATTCCATGTTTCATTCCCTACTTATCGCACCAGCAAGAAAAAACGAGAGAACAAAATCACGTAGCCCATGGATACGAAAGAAAGCAATAAAAGATTAAAACAAAAAAAACAAACATGAAAAAGGAAGCCTCATGGCATCAGACTTGGGCTTTGCACCCAGTTGCCTGGAAGATTTTGGGTTGGCTGGGGTATCTATTGATTACTTTCTGGTCAGAATGGGATTAAATTATTCACGAGCCACTTGGCGAAACACTTGGCTGGAAACTAGCCCCGAAAAGGGCTGCAAACGGAAGCCTGCCCAAACACAGGCGTCAGTCGGGTCTAGATTATGTGTCAAAGGAGACCTCCAAAATGGTGGTTCTCTTTTTGGCTTCTTTTTAAGCCAAACCCAAAAGGGGTACTCTTCGTCTCAAGAAAGCAAACCCACCGATCTCAAGCATGACTGCAACCCAGTGCCCTCCAAGTGTCTGGGTGCGCTCACTTTTTTGGAGGATACACTTTTCGGGGTTGGCGTGACTGGAAACCAAAAAGGACAACTGAGGATTTCGGAGGCGGATTTTGCCCGCCCACACCTGGCCCCCAAATGACCTTTGGTAACTTTTCCCGTGTAGCAAACGTCATCTTGTTGGGGGGGTTTCCCATGAGGACCCTTTGATCACCCCCCATATCCTGTGATCGGACACATCGGCGGCTAATTCTCCCAGAAACACTCAGGCATTCGTCCAGAAAAAGCGCACCCTCTTTCCTGGAAGTGCATGCACCGGAACCCGAAGGTTCGCGGGCCTCACGTTGGTCTTTTGGCATCTCCCTCGCTCTCGGAAGTGTCATGGAGCGGTTTCTTCTTATTGCACGGACAGAATCTCAGGAAAGTCCCCTGCAAGATCATGCTTTCGGGGGGCCCTTCATGCTTCCAAATACAATGTCTATTTGGTCCCCTCCAACTCATATTGCTTTTGGTGTCCTTTCAAACGCCACAAATGGGCTTTGCATGTTCTGACAAGGCAATTCTTGGACACACTGCGTAGTTTGGCTCTCCCTCAAATAGGAAAGGACCTTCTCAAAAAGCTCCAAGGCGTTGTGCAAAGGGTGATGACCAGCTTACTACCACCAAAAAGCACAAAGTCATCCTTGTTCTTCCTGCTTTGCATAGGCAACAGTGGCAGCTTGCAGCTATCACCTGAATTGAAGTTTCCATCTTACAGTGAAGGACTGAACCCCTCATGGCCCCGAACCAGCTCATACATACTACATGTACGTACTGTGTATCCAAGTATAGTAAAATATGCATTTTATAGCTGGTGTATAGCCAAGGGGCAACTATGGTCATCCAATGCCTAGGAGTGCACCCTTAGGGCCATCCTGAGTTAGCATTATCTATGGAATCAAAAAACACGGCACCATGCAGGCAATTTCGCAATGCACACCGATGCCTCATCAATCTAGTGGACTTCTGCCAGGCTTGCGTAGAGATTCGATATTGCGATCAAGTGCAATGCAATATGCCAATTGTGCCTGGGTGCCGATCCATGCAAACACGACCAAAGCCCTCCGAAAAGAAACATCCACGGGCCGCAGGTCCCCAACATGGTGGTGATCCTGCAGGTTCCCCCTTACACCAACCCAACAAGAATGGGTGTGTCCTTTTTCGCGGGACCCCCAAAATGTCGGCCATCCTTTTGGTTTCCTTTTAACCCAACCCCAAAAACGAGGGGCAGGGTGCCATCCAAAAGCGCCATGTTGAACCACCGCCAAAATCACTTGTCTTCAAGGAGGCTTTTTATGTAGTTCTTGTTTTTGGTGGGGGGCCCTATATTTTGACCCTTGCCCCACCCCCAGCGGACCTCTGCCAACCGACTCGAGGCCCCCGGCCCAGCAGCAAGCCCCGCAGGCTCAAGGGCTTGGGGCAGCGCGCCCGGGCGATGTGCAGCTTGCCGTCCGTGATGGCGATCCTTGCCGGTGGCTCTGGTTTTTTAGGACTCCGACTACCCCTCCCCTCCCCACCCCCAAAAAAAGGGCTTCGGTGGGAACACTCTTGGTGGCCCCAAAAACCCCACCCAACGGAAAAAAGACAAAAACAAAGCTTGAATGTTCTTGCTAGTAATCCAACACGGCGACCCGTCAAGAATAATAATAATAAAATGGCTTGGGTGTTCCTCTTCGTGGCCCCACTAGAGGCCAGTCAGGATTCCCTGTCGGAGTCCGAAAATGGAGAAGTGAGGCACTTGGAAGTTGCGCTGCCATCTTGAGCAAAACCGCCGAGAAACCCCATGCAAACGTTTAGCGGGTGTCGGCTTGGGAAGCCGCACTCAACCTGGTGCAGAGAATAAGAACTCGGTTGTGCAGGCATAATGGCTGCTCGAATCATTGCCGCCAACCCTGCCCAATATGACTGTTTTGAATTTGCGCTGCCTCGTCAACGCCAAATGCTCAACTAGCAGGTTTGGGAATGTACCTCAAAGCCACTTTTCTAGCGGCTTTTGATCTGTGACTGGAACCTCTCCGGCTTTTGACGCCGGAAACATCGGCCAATGTGCAGAAGAGTTTGCTTCAGGTGGCAACTCGGTTGTTGCAGGCAGGCCGCAAAAGCAAACAGGTCCTCGGGGATCCCACCTGCAATTTAGGCGGCTTCCCTGCGGCCGAAAAGAGCCACACCAAAACACGACCACCGTGTCCCTCAGGTTGGACGCATTAAGCACTAGGGGTTGAGTCCAACCATTCTTTTCAGCCATCGTTCTTTTGCTTTTTCTTTTTAAACCAGCCTTTCTGGAAAGAAGGATGCCTGGAAAGAATGGGGAAGCTACCCCTAGATGTGGCTCAAAAGTTTGACCTTCTTGTCTCTTGTTCTAGGAGATTTGTCTCCTGTCGAGAGCCAAGGGACAAGGAGGTGTAGTTGAAGGGGTCGGTGAAGTGCCCGGCTTCGCGCAACCTGAGCGAAGAGAGCTTCACGGACGAAGCCAGTCAGCCCTCATTGTGCAAAAGGATTGACAAGGAGTCCATGCTTGACAACTGCGCTTCAAAAGGTAAATCCTCAGTCAGTCTGAAGGGAACATAGCCTTCATTGATAGTCTCGCTCGGACTCGAAAATTCGCAAATTGACATACCCTCCCACGCTGTTCACAGCCGGAACCTGATGTTGACCCGGTCCCTTTGAAAGGAAAAGGAATCCAAACAAGGACCCCACGAACGTCAGGTTCCATGTTGATTGGCGGGAGGGTTCCCATGGGGAGGTCCCCCAAAAGGAGATTCAAGATGTTTTTTCGGTCTCTGTGCCAGTGGGAGTAAATCGTCTGAAATAAGGGGGGGCCTCAGGAACCTTGTATAATGCCCAAATGCTCAGGTTGCCACTAGACATCCCTGAATAGTCGAGCTATTCACGCTTATCCATTTCTGGTCAGCATGATAAACTATGGGAGCCATTTCGGCGAGGCGCTTCCACTCCCAAATAAGCTCCTCCCCCGGCAAGAGCAGGTCCCTGCGTGCGGATATGCCGAAGATCTCTGCACAGCCCAAGCAGGCCACCTGAGCGATAAGGGGGGAGGTCACGAGAGCAGTGAATGCTTAAGCTCAACGTCTGTCTGGCAATTAACAAAGCCTCTCAAAAGATGGCAAGAGCTCCTTTTGCTCTATTCCTTGTATCATGGACTGTTAGGAGGGGCTATGGGAGGGGCTATCCCTGCATAAGCCCAGGATAAGCCAAGGATAAGAAATAGCCCCCCGATCCCCATAGCCCCGCTTGAGGGTCCACGATTGCAAAGGTCGGGAATGTGTCCTCAAACATGGCGTGTTGCGAGCCGCTTCATTCTTCGCGCCTTGAGGTTGTGTGACTTCCTGTCCTCTATCATCTGAGTCATCGCCTCAGTTTTTTTTTGAAAGGAATGGCGCCCGAGCGTCCGAAGGAAACCCGAATGGATGTGGGTCAAAACCAATGGGATCCCATTTTGGGGTAGGTGCACCACCCATTTTAGAACCTATGTTAGTGGGGATTGGGATGTTCACTGGGGGTACGGGATTTTGACCCATGGCCAAATTTCTCCGAAACCCAATCAGCTGGTGGCCCCAAGCTGCCAATCACTTGGCTCATGACACTGCAGTGCTGCTACTGCTCCGCCTTGTGCCATGGTCAAAATGGAAGGGTCTTCGAATGAACTGACTTGTCAGTGTAGAATCTTCCAAATGAATAACGCTCACCGCAGATTGCGGCAGATGCTTCATCTGGCAATCAGACTCTAGACATGTAAACTAAAGACAAAAACCAAGAAGGTGTCATTGCATGAATGGCTTCCCTTTGATCTCAAAATTTCTCAAAGTCTCAAGGACCATAAACAATCAGTTGCCACCGTACCATAACTCGCTTGCTTTCTGCTCCCCTGCTAAAAGTTTAACTTCCAATGGCTTAAGGGAAAGCTCATTAGTTGGCAAAAAGTTAAAGTCCGAACATCCAAGTGCAACAAAAACAAGCTTGCTTCTTCCCCCATTCGGAATGAGAGCCCTAAAAAACTCGCCGAGCAGCTCGGAAGGCCACCAGCGCTTCCCCGTTGGTGCGCCGGACTTGCAGCAGCCCGTGATCCCCTGGCGCGGAGAACGAAAGGAGCCCAAGGGCAACAGCCGATATTTTGGGCGGAAACACGAAAAACGTGGCAAGACACATCCCCGCGAAAAAAACGGGCTTCATGCGCGCCTTCCTGGGCGCCTTTCTTTTGTTGCATTTTTTTTGGGCAGCTTTTTGGCGCTCCAGGCAAGGCGCCCTCACTAGCTCACTAAAAACACTCCAACAAAATTGGGGCCCCTTCAGGTGTCCTTTTGGTGTTCCTTTAAAACCAGCCAAAAAGGGGTCCCCTAGTCCGAGAACCCCAATCCAAAAAGTTTGACAAATCGGTCAGAAATCAACGCTGACCCGGGCGACATGCTCCAGGCATGCGTTCAGGGAATCTGTGGAGCTCCGGGTGGAAGCCCATGTCAAGATTCAAAGGCGTAGATTCTTAGTTTGCCTCCATTTGCTTAAGCCCCCTGCGAGAAAAAAAAAACAGTAGGGATAGATTCCCTCCAAAAACAAAGGAGAAATAAACCAGATTCTTCATAAAGCAAATGGAAGTTTGTTGGGCTTGTTCCCGGCTTGCTCTAAAGATCCCACGGGCAAACTTGGCCCTTTGGACAACGGAAGACCATTCCTCTGGCATTCCTCTGCCCTTGGAACTTGCACTAGACAAGCTCCACTTCGCACCAGCGATGAACCACAAGAAATGGTAACCACCAATCACACCTGCTGGATGTTAAAACCATCCACATGGGAGTTTGTTGGTAGGCCTCCACAAGGCCTGGCTGTATATGGATCGATCCGCATGGATGTTCAAACGAACATTTCGGTTTGTTTGCTTGTTGTGTTCCTTTCTTCGAGGCCGCCTTTTTCGGGGGTTGAACATGCCACCCACCGAGCTTCCTCCCATCAGCGTCGACCCCGCCGCGCCCTGCGCCGCGCCCTGCGCCGACACGTCGACCCCGCCTCGCACGGTGACCACGCCGCGGCGCCACGGAGCCCGGCACCAGGTCCTGCGGAACCCGATGCGGCCGTGACCAAAGCTGGGCCGATTGCCAGGGGGATTGGTTCTTTTTGGCTTTTCTGTGTGGGTTCCCTCCAAAAAATGGGGGGGGAGGGGGAAACTGGGTTCCCGGTAGATCCAATTGGTTCTTTGGAAAAATCCCTGTAGATCCAGCTGGTTTCCCTGTAAAACCACCACAAAAGGGGTACCAATTTTTAGGGGGCCCTCCAAAATGGGTGGGTTTTCTTTTTGGTTTCCCTGTAAAACCACAAAAAAAGGGGTAGCAACTCACAACGACTTGCTGGTTCTGACGGAATGAGAAATGGAATGACCCCCCCAAAAAAAACATCCCTTGTGGGTGGTTTCCTCTAAGGGGAAATGTCTGGGTTGATTCCCAACTGAGCACCAGCAAGGTGGTCCTAGCGTCTACGGAGGTGCTGAGTCCGTCCATTGAAAGTGGAAAAGGGCGCGTTCCTCATTGCTGCCAATATAGTAGTAGCCTCTGAGTCCGGACCATCAAGTCCCCTTAAAGGATAAGCTTTTGGGTCTGACCAAACTTCCCTGTCCAGGTCCCTTCATCGGAACATCACCAAACGCCTTTCATGTTTACCCGAAAGGGATAGGACAAACAAACGAGAACCAGGTCTTGGGATCGCAAAGCCAAGTTTTTGTCTTGGGTCGGATCGCGGGAACTTTTCAGGTGCGAAGCGTTGATTCCTTCAAACATTACAGCCATGCAGAGGCAGACTGGCAGACTGGCATCTTTCAGTTCTAGACAGCGAACCTACTCTATCGAACATCGTGAGTTGGGATCACACTCTTTCCGTGGAATTCATGCAAGGCTCTGGCAACTTGCGCTCAGACTGTGTGGCGTACCCATTGCACCCAAAAACGACGCATGGCAGGACAGTAAGATTCCCTGGTTTGATCCTCAAGGTTTCAGCACTGCTCTGAAGCTGCTGTCAACCTGCGCCATGGGGACTACTTTACCTACCATAGGTCACTGGTTTGTACAGGCACGCATATGTTTCAGTCAAACCAGAGGGTATGCCTTTCAATCTAGCATGAGTCAAAGAGGCAGAACATCTTAGCTTGTCGTCTCCTCCCTCGTTAGCCTATACAATACCAATTGCCTTTCAAATGATGAGCCTATTTCATTGAAACGGTGCCTCAGGAAAACGCACATAAGCAAACGAAACCTGAAATCGTGTGGCTTGCTTGGTTCACAAATTCGCATCCAAGCGACCGCATCCAGTCTTCCCATACAGGCTTCAGAGGCATGTCCAGCTGTACATAGATGGCCTGCCGGCAGATTGCAGATTTCCGCTGGAAGTCCTTCATAGACATCTCAATGGCTGCCACGCAGCTTTGAATTCATGGAGATCCTTTCAGGGTTTGCAAGCAAGAAAAAACATGACACCAACATGTCACTGTTTGAGGTCCCTAGAATTGCCATACTCCCTCATGGTGCGACATGTGTGCGTATGTGTGTGCGCACGCCACGCTCTTCAAACGAAACACCTGGACATGACCCGATCCTCAAACATTGCGGTTTGCTGGCATCGTTAAAAAAAAGTAATGTTCGCATCAATTCACGTGCTGAAGAACATGAATATCGAGGAACAAGGACAGCAACCGGGGGAGCCATACTTCTAACCAGTGAAGGGGGTGATCCATATTGACCTAGTTTGTCCCGATCATCAAGAAGGTAGACAGAATGCTTAGCAGTTCAGCTGGTCTCCGGCTCTTCATTATTGTTCAAGCACAAGCAACTGAAAATGAGCAGCTCAATTTATGCACAGTGCGACGCCAACACTGTGATCCGGTTTGAACTCGGTTTTGCTTGTTTCTCAGCAGCAAAAGCAAAGGAATCTTCAGGCCAACTCGCTTCAGCACTAGCAAACAACCGTCGCAACTCTTTCAGACCAGTAAGGTACGCGAAGTGTGCTTTGACAGCTCAAGATTAAACATCGCAAACTTTCACACACCCTTGCTTGTGCCAAATGCACTTTGGCAGCTCCAGCTCGCAAATCGCGGTTTTTAGCTATAGTTCCCCATGCCAAAAGATCTACCAATGACTTGATCTCACATCACCCCATTTTATCCTTGCACGCACACTCCTAAAATACGAGCAAACATACTGACTTCTCGGGGTGAACGTGCATAGTCAACTGTCCGCTATTTAGTTGCTTCATATCAAGCCTTCAAGCTGACCTTCGGAGAGTCTTCAGAGAATGGAGCGCCTCCCACTCAATCCGCGCGGCCCAAAAACGGCCTCCATAAAACAAGCTGATAGAACCGCCCTTTTAAGCCAGTGAATTGAGTTCGAAGATTTGACAGCCGCTTCCAACATGAGCCGCAGCAAATATTCACCGTGCTCCCAATTGACAGGTGCTACAGTAGATGACGATAAATAGTGACTGTTGCTCAATGGCAAGTTCAAATGAGTAACAATGAAGTCAGGTATCAAGGGGCCCAAAACTGTAGGTCATAAATCATCAATTAGAGCGGCCACTTCTTCTGGTGACTGCCCACCAGCCCGGGCTGTCCTCAGATCTGCTAAACGTTATTAACGTTTAGTGGGTTAAATTAGGACACCCAGCCAGACCAACTAAAAACAACGAAAAACAAAGGAACCGGATGGCTGGGAACCACCAAGTAACCCATCGCCTTGTGTTGACTTCTCCGCCCGCAGCTTCGGAAAAAGTCCGCCTTGCCCACCCGGAAGGCATCCAGCCGCACGTCCGTGCCGCCGTAGAAGTGTGGGAAACAACTCAGTCAGCCCGGCTGAGCTGATGGGACTGGCAAATTAAATGCTCAGCCGGCCCTCTCTGAGCCTGTCGTCTTTTTTGGGGGTACTCCTTTTGGGGTTGGTTTTAAAGGGCAACCAAAGGGAAACCACCTGTTTGGAGGGGTGACACACGTCCATCTGTGGTCCTGCTTTGCCACCAACTGAGCTGGCGACAACCCCAAGGCAGTGGGCGGGTTCCGGGAGAGTTGGATGACCCTCCCTGTGTTTGTCGAGACCTCAGGGCAACGCTGGCTGCATCCCATGTGAGTCGTAATCAAATGGAATTGTCCGTTCCTACCCTCCAATTACCCAGGTTTTGATTGTGAGTCACGTGCTGCGATCAACTCTGCTGCACAATGTCTTGAAAAGCATGCAAGCCGAATGAAGCAAGCATGTGATGGCTTGCCCCGTGGGCAGTGTTAAACGGCTGAAAAATGCATGATCACTCAATGATATGCCTGCTTGTGTACTGACCGATTTCTGGTCAATCTCAGGGAAGTGCTAGGAGTGAACCATTCGAACGCGCCCAGTCTGGGCCAAGGACAGCAACTCCAATCACACGAAAAACACGGCATACGCCAAAGCCATTGACTAGATGAGTTTAACACCTGGCTCGGTGCTTGTTTCCTCAGCTACCTCAGCTAATCGGCAAATCGGAGTGCAAAGCCTCAGGTCTCTGAGGCCGCAGCACAAAGGCACTGCAACTCTCCGCGCAACTTGAAATAGACGTGGATCAAAAACAGCAGAGGCACCTGAACATAGGTGTCCTTTCTTCGTAAATAGATGGCCCTAGATGATTGAACCACCAGGTAAACCAGCCCTCTATTTCAAACCAACCAAAAAGGACACCTATGCACCTGAACTGAAGGTCGCCAGTGAGCTCCCCAAACTCACCCAAAGAAGCTGCATCCGGGTGTGTTGGTTTTTTAGGGTGCCCCGTTTTGGTGTGGTTTTCAAGGGAAACCAAAAGGACAATCCAGCCACCGGTTTCTTGTTTTGCCGGGGAGGGGGTGCACAACCATCCATTTGGGAGTGATGAGGTGCATTTGCTCAGCAGTTGAAAAGCTCTGGGCTGAAGGCACAGCAAAGGTCCACTCAAGCACATGGATACCTACGTTTGGTGCTCAGAAAGCATCTAAAACACACAATAAGTGCAGTTATCTGCACAAATAGCTTGCCCACGGATGAGGTGCTATGACTTGGGCAAACAAAGTTGTGGAATGTCCGAATTGTGCAAAGCCAATCCTACCCGGCTTGGAGTTTGCTCTCAACGTGCCCGCGTGCAGCGCTCCCATTTCGTGGCTGGGGCGCAATGAAGTAGAGCACCTTCCTGCCGTGCAAAGTGCACTCAGCTGTTCTCCCCCCAGTTGAACTGTGACCCTGGTACAAACAAAACGGCCTCCCACCTGAGCGGCGGAACTGTAACATGCTTGAATGGCTTAAAGTTTGAATGCGCGTGACCCGGCCCTGGCAGCCAGAATTAAGATGGCGGCAAAATAGCGCCTGATGAGGGTTGCGCACTATTCAGCAAATTACGCTCTTCCAGGCAAAACATAACAGCCAGAAAGTGGTGGCAGTGCAGTAAGGCAACAACGCATGCCTCAACGACAAGCATTTAGGTATATCTAGGATGCCTCCAAACCTCTTCGTATGGCAACGACAGCTTGCACCTACATTTTACATTCTGCGTATACTGTCCGAGGCGTCCCAGCATCCACCTGCGGCATTCTTGGTTTGACGCGTTGGATCTGGCCGCGTCCGGGTCCTCGTGGCCATGATTGTCATCACTTCCTTGGATTGGATCAGGCGTGGCTATTTTTGGGGGGGAGGGGTCAAATAGGGATTTGGACCCCCCGCAATTTTCTGGCATGTCCTCAGAACCCCTGCCAAAAGTTTTTAACTTTGGGGTGGTTTAATGGAAACCCACACTAAACCCTAAAAACCTAAACAGCTAAGGAACCGGATGGCGAAACCACCAAGTTTTGGTGGTTCTTCCTTTGGGTTGCATTGAAAACACCCCAAAGGGTACCAACTTCAAGTAAAACACACGCCACCACGCAACCTCCTAGCAAATGGTCGAGCCAGTGTGCCGCTCCGTGCACACAGATTCACTTTGGACTTAGAATGAAACTTGAAATGGGTGTGTCTTTCTCCCCAGATGGCTGTGGGTCAAAAATAGGTACCACAAAAGGAACCCTAGTAAGTGGAAACATGGACCAAAACCTGCGGCCCCTGGTGGTTTAATTTTGACCCATACCCAGATAGCTTTCGCTATAGGGCTTCTTACTTCTACACAGGCAGGGTTTTTTCAGCGAAATCGGGCCAGGTAGGTGTTGCGGGTGCTGGGTGCTCAAGGTGCGGTGGCAGTTGCAAAAGGGGCAATGCGGGCTGGGTGTTGTTGTGGGTGCTGGTCAGGGTGCTGTTTGGCATGAAGGTGGTGTGATCGTTGCTGCCAGTGCTTGTTTGGCGACTGGCGACGCAATCCGGGTGCTGAACAGGGTGCTGTTTAAAGTGAGGGTGCTTTTTGATGTGCTCAAGTGCTTGTTTGGCGTGCAGGCAGGGTGCTGGTGCTTGTAATCTCCCATGCTATCTGGGGTCGACGCTGGTGCGATGTTCGGACTCCCGCAAATGTTGATCAATCCTTGTGGCTTCACTTTAAATCAACCGAGGGGTACCCCTTCCACTGTGAAACGCACCAGGTCACCAGCCTGCGCTCCATTTCGGCCAAGTGTCCGGAACCAGAAACTCCAGTGCACAGATCATCGCCGCGTATCCGATGACCTGAGCAATACAAAGCAGCTTCGAGGTCTGTTCCCACAAACAATACAAAAACACTTGAGCGTCGACGAGATGGCGAAGACGCCGGAAGGTGCTGGCCTCCTCGAAGTCTACGCCATGGACACCGGCTGCAAGGACGAGCTCATCGAGATGTGCAACAGCGACAGAGTGCGCAAGATCCTCATGGCCTACGCAGACCACATGGACTTGAGGGTCCGCTTCATCACCTGGCCACAGCGTCAAGGCAGCCGTGCGCAGCCTGCGAGAAGATGGTGCTGCTCCAAACGTTTTTTGTGTCTGTTAACACCCACAAACAATACAAAAACAGAAGATGGTGCTGCTCCAAACGTTTTTTGTGTCTGTTAACACCCACAAACAATACAAAAACAGAAGATGGTGCTGCTCCAAACGTTTTTTGTGTCTGTTAACACCCACAAACAATACAAAAACAGAAGATGGTGCTGCTCCAAACGTTTTTTGTGTCTGTTAACACCCACAAACAATACAAAAACAGAAGATGGTGCTGCTCCAAACGTTTTTTGTGTCTGTTAACACCCACAAACAATACAAAAACAGAAGATGGTGCTGCTCCAAACGTTTTTTGTGTCTGTTAACACCCACAAACAATACAAAAACAGAAGATGGTGCTGCTAAAACGTTTTTTGGTCTGTTAACAATCTACAAACACAAAAAAGAAGATGGTGCTGTTCTGAAACGTTTTGTGTCTGTTAACACCCACAAACAATACAAAAACAGAAGATGGTGCTGCTCCAAACGTTTTTTAGTCTGTTAACGCCCATAAACAATACAAAAACAGAAGATGAAAGTGTTCGAACGCTTTAGGTTCAGTTAAATTCACAAACAAATTACAGAACAGATGGTGTTGCTCCAAACGTTTTAGTCTGTTAACACCCACAAAACAAATACAAAAACAGAAGATGGTGCTGTCTAAACGTTTTTTGTGTCTAGCAACACCCACAAACAACAAAACAGGAGATGAAGTTGTTCAAACGTTTTTTGTGTCTGTTAAATTCACAAACAAATACAAAACAGAAGATGGTGCTGTCTAAACGCTTTTTTAGTTCTAATACCCACAAAACAATACAAAACGAAGATGGTGCTGCTCGAAACGTTTTTTGTGTCTGAAAAATTCACAAAACAAATAAAATAAAAACAGAAGATTGTGTTGTTCGAAACGTGTTTTAGGTCTATAAATGTTCACAACAATATTAAAAACAGAAGATGGTGCTGTCTGTAAACGTTTTTTAGTTCAGCAACAACTAATAAACAAATACAAAAACAGAAGATGGTAAGAACAAAACGTGTTTTTTGTGTCTGTTAACAAATTCACAAACAATACAAAAACAGAAGATTTGTGCTGCTCAAAACGTTTTTTGTGTCTGTTAAATCTACAAACAAATACAAAATATATTGTGCTGTTCGTCGTTTTTGTGTCTGTTAATACCCATAAACAATGCAAAGAGAAGATGAAAGTTGTTCTTGAACGTTTTGTGTCTGTTAACACCACAAACAAATAAAACAGAAGATGGTGCTGTCTGAAACGTTTTGTGTCTGTTAAATCTACGTCACAAAAACAGAAATATTTGTGTTGTTCTGAAACGTTTTTTAGTCTGTTAATCACAAACAAATAAAATGAAGATGGTGTTGTCTAAAACGTTTTAGGTCTGTTAAACACCCATAAAATGTCACAAAATGAAGATGAAGAATAAACGTTTTTAGAATTATAACAACTACAAACAATACAACAGAAGATGGTGCTGTTCAAACGTTTTAGTTCATAAATCTACAAACGCTAAAATAGAAGATGTTGTCTAGAAACGTTTTTTAGTCTGTTAAATAACGATGAAACAAATACAAAACAGAAGATGAAGTTGTTCTGAAACGTTTTTTAGGTCTAGCACACCCATAAACAACAATAAAAACAGAAGATGCAGTTGTCTAAAACGTTTTAGGTCTGTTAACAATCTATAAACCGAGACAAGCAAAAATGAGAAAGATGAAGGCGTGAAACGTTTTTTAGTCTATGGAACGACAACAATGCAAACAGAAGACAGGTTGCTCCAAACGTTTTTGTCTGTTAACAATTCACAAACAATACAAAAATTAGTATTTGTGTTGTCTAAAACGTTTTTTAGTCTGTTATCACCCATACAAAATAAATACAAAAAACAGAAGATGGTGTTGCTCCAAAACGTTTTTTTTAGGTCCATTAAATACCCATAAACAATATAAAAATGGTAAAGACAGCACGAACGTTTCTTTAGGTTCATACAATCTAATAAAACACATAAAAACAGAAATATTAGAAAGTCTGAAACAAGTTAGAAACAAGAGCAATACCCATAAATACAGAAAACAGAAGATGGTGCTGTCTGAAACGTTTTTTGTGTCTGTTATCACCCACAAACAATAACAAAATAGAAGATGGTGTTGTCTGAAACGGTTTTTAGGTCTGTTAACCACCCATGCAAAACAATACAAAACAGAAGAGAAGTTGTCTGAAACGTTTTTTGTGTCTGTTAACACCCATAAAACAATACAAAAACAGAAATATTTGTGTTGTTTCAAACGTTTTTTGTGTCTAACACTCCATAAAACAAATAAGAAAAACAGAGCATGGTGTTGTTCGTAACGTTTTTTAGGTTCATTAAATACCCAACCAACAAGCCAAAAACTAGATGGCAACGTTAGTAAACAAGCGCACAAAACTGCGGACAAACATTACAAAAACAGAAGATGATGCTGTTCAAAACGTTTTTTAGGTCTATAACACCCATACAAACAAATACAAAACAGAAGATGGTGTTGTCTGAAACTGTTTAGGTCTGTTAACACCACAAACAATACAAAAACAGAAGATGATGTTGTTCGAAACGCTTTTTTAGGTTCATATATCAATCGACAAACAAATACAAAAAACACAAGCATTTGTGTTGCTCCAAACGTTTTTTAGGTTCTTGTTAGTCAACGACAAAATAAATAAGAAACAGAAAGATGAAAGGGTTCCAAACGCTTTTGTGTCTGTTAACACCACAAACAATACAAAAACAGGAAGATGAAGCGTCTAAAACGTTTTAGGTCTGTTTAACAACGACAAACAAATAAGCAAAAAACAAGAAGATGTTGCTCCAAAACGTTTTTGTAATTGTTAACAACTATTATCCAAATACAAAAAATGAGAAAGACGGTGTTGTTCAAAACGTTTTTGTGTCTGTTAACACCATTAAAACACAAAATAGAAGATGAAAGTTGTCTAAACGTTTTAGTCTGTTAAATACCCATAAAACAAATAAGAAAACAGAAGATGGTGTTGCTCCGAAACGTTTTTTAGGTTCAGCACACCATAAAACAATGTTAAAAAACAGAAGATGGTGTTGTCTAATCGTTTTTTGTGTCTGTTAAATACCCATAAAACAAATACAAAAACAGAAGATGGTGTTGCTCCAACGTTTTTTAGGTCTGTTAACACCCATAAAATAATAAGAAACAGAAGATGGTGCTGTCTAAACGCTTTAGTCTGTTAACACCACAAACAACATAAAAACAGAAGATGAAGTTTCCGAAATGCTTTAGGTCTGTTAAATACCCATACCACAAATAAAAACAAGATAGCATCGAATGTTTAGGTTCATAATTCCATAAAACACAAGAAAACAGGAAGATGGTGTTACCTTGAAACGTTTTTTAGGTTCAACACCCATAAAAAATGCTGAAAATAAGAAGATGGTGTTGTCTGAACGTTTTTTGTGTCTAGTAATACCCATAAATACAACAGAAATATTTGTGTTGTTCTGAAACAAGTTTTTTAGTCTGTTAAATACCCATAAATACACAAAAAGAAGATGGTGCTGTCTAGTTCAAGTTTTTTGTGTCTGTTAACACTAATAAACAAATATAAACAGAAAGATGGTGCTGTCTAGCTGCTTTTTGTGTCTGTTAAATACCCACAAAACAATACAAAAACAGAAGATGGTGCTGCTCCAAACGCCTTTTGTGTCCGTTAACAAATCTACAAACACAAAAACGAAGATGGTGCTGTCTAAAATGTTTTTTTTGTGTCTGTTAAATCTACAAACAATAATAAAATGAGAATTAGAAGTTAGTCTTTTGAAATGCTTTAGTCTGTTAACACCACAAACAAATACAAAAACAAGAAGATTGTGCAAGCTAAAACGTTTTTTGTGGGTCTGTTAAATCTACAAAACAAATAAGGTAACAGAAGATGAAGTTACCTAAACGTTTTTTAGTCTGTTAAATACCCATAAACAATACAAGTTAGAAGATGGTGTTGCCTCCAAACGTTTTTGTGTCTGTTAACCACCCATAAACAATACTAAAATTAAGAAGATGAAGTGTCTAAACGTTTTGTGTCTGTTAAACACCCACAAACAAATACAAAAACAGAGATGGTGTTGCTCCAAACTTTAGGTTCATAAACAATTCACAAACAATACAAAAACAGAAGATGGTGTTGTCTAAATGCTTTTTGTGTCTGTTAAATACCCACAAAATCACGTTAGTAAACAGAAGATGGTGTTGCTCCAAATGCTTCTTGTGTTGTTAACACCCACAAACAGTACAAAAACAGAAGATGGAGAGCCCAATGCTTTGTGTCTGTTACCACCACAAACAACAATAAAACAGAAGATGGTGCTGTCTAAACTGCTAGTCTGTTAACAATCTGACAAACAAATACAAAAACAGAAGATGGTGTTGCTCCAACGTTTTGTGGGTCTGTTAAACACCCACAAACACAAGAAAACAGGAAGATGGTGTTTGCCTAAATGCTTTTTTGACTAGTCACCCACAAACAAATACAAAAACAGAAGATGGTGCTGCTCCAAAACGTTTTTGTGTCTGAGCAACACCCACAAAACAAATACAAAGAAAGACAGTGTTGTCTAGGAACGTTTTAGTCTGAGCCACACCCACAAACAACAATAAAAATAGAAGATGGTGTTGTCTGAAACGTTTTTTGTGGGTCTGTTAACACCATTGCCCACAAAAACAGAAGATGTGCTGTCTAAATTTTTGTGTCTGTTAACAATCTACAAACAATAAACAGAAGATGTAAGACGAATGCTTTTTAAAGTCTAGTTAAATACCTACAAACAATATTAAAAACAGAAGATTTGTGCTGTCTAAAACGTTTTTTGTGTCTATCACCCATAAAATGGGCTACAAGAAAAACAGAAGATGGTGCTGTCTGAAACGTTTTGTGTCTGTTAACACCATAAAACAAATACAAAAACAGAAGATGGTGCTGTCTAAACGTTTTTTGTGTCTGTTAAACACCACAAACAAATACAAAAACAGAAGATGGTATGTCTGAATGTTTTTTGTGTCTGTTAAATCTACAAAACAATACAAAAACAGAAGATTTGTGCCACCTGAATATTTTTTTGTGTCTGTTAACACCCACAAACAAATGCCAAAACAGAAGATGGTGTTGCTCCAAACGTTTTTTGTGTCTGTTAACACCCACAAACAATACAAAAACAGAAGATGGTGTTGCTCCAACGTTTGTGTCTGAGCACCACAAACGTACCACAAAACAGAAGAGCAGGTTGCTCCAACGTTTTTTTAAATCTTTGTTAACACCCAAAAAATAATATAAAAACAGAAAATGGTGTTGTCTTGTTTTTTTCAGACCCCTTAGTTAACACCCACAAAAACACACATAAAAACAGAAGATGGTGTTGCTCTAAATGCTTTGGGGTTCATAATCAAACAATACATAAACAGAAGATGGTGCTGTCTAAACGTTTTTTGTGTCTGTTAACACCCACAAACAATACAAAAACAGAAGATGGTGCTGCTCCAAACGTTTTTTGTGTCTGTTAACACCCACAAACAATACAAAAACAGAAGATGGTGCTGCTCCAAACGTTTTTTGTGTCTGTTAACACCCACAAACAATACAAAAACAGAAGATGGTGCTGCTCCAAACGTTTTTTGTGTCTGTTAACACCCACAAACAATACAAAAACAGAAGATGGTGCTGCTCCAAACGTTTTTTGTGTCTGTTAACACCCACAAACAATACAAAAACAGAAGATGGTGCTGCTCCAAACGTTTTTTGTGTCTGTTAACACCCACAAACAATACAAAAACAGAAGATGGTGCTGCTCCAAACGTTTTTTGTGTCTGTTAACACCCACAAACAATACAAAAACAGAAGATGGTGCTGCTCCAAACGTTTTTTGTGTCTGTTAACACCCACAAACAATACAAAAACAGAAGATGGTGCTGCTCCAAACGTTTTTTGTGTCTGTTAACACCCACAAACAATACAAAAACAGAAGATGGTGCTGCTCCAAACGTTTTTTGTGTCTGTTAACACCCACAAACAATACAAAAACAGAAGATGGTGCTGCTCCAAACGTTTTTTGTGTCTGTTAACACCCACAAACAATACAAAAACAGAAGATGGTGCTGCTCCAAACGTTTTTTGTGTCTGTTAACACCCACAAACAATACAAAAACAGAAGATGGTGCTGCTCCAAACGTTTTTTGTGTCTGTTAACACCCACAAACAATACAAAAACAGAAGATGGTGCTGCTCCAAACGTTTTTTGTGTCTGTTAACACCCACAAACAATACAAAAACAGAAGATGGTGCTGCTCCAAACGTTTTTTGTGTCTGTTAACACCCACAAACAATACAAAAACAGAAGATGGTGCTGCTCCAAACGTTTTTTGTGTCTGTTAACACCCACAAACAATACAAAAACAGAAGATGGTGCTGCTCCAGTGTGTTTTTCCTTCGATCCCCAGGAAACCTCTGGGAGCTCGCTCTGTGCTGCTTCGAGTCCACCAAGGCCGGGTGCCGGCGCTGCCATGTCTCACTCACCCGTAGGCCTGGCCCTGGTAAGTAATGCTGCGTGGTTGGGCGGGTTTCAGGGTTTCCTTGTGATAAGAAGAAGAAAAAAGACGGGCTTGGTCAATGGGAACCCATGGGCGAAACGGCTAAAAGACACCTCCTACAAATTCATAAACCATGAATTTCAGGGGTGTTTCCTTGGGCTCCAGTACCAAGAAACCTGGAGCAGCCGAGTCCAAACTGAGCTTCCGTGCTATGAGCAGAAAGGTGAAGAGGCTGTGTCTCTGAGTCTCCTGGCTATTGTGGATCCAGCAAACATGTAGAATCTGAGACGACGCAACCTGCCCCCTCCCTGTGCCACGCACAAGCAATCTAGCCCTCTCACAAACATTTTTGCGCAGGCGCTGCTTCAATTCTGGCCCTCTGACGAACAATCGCCTTGAAGGCCTGGCGAGTTAAACGAGTGTGGTGTTGCATTGGGAGACGAAAATGCGGCGATCTCGCTGGGCCAAAAAAGCCAACCACCATAGAGGCACAGCTGACTGAACCTGACTGCAGACGAAGCTCGTTCCACACAGCAGTGACTTTCTCATGGGGGTTGATGCCCAGCAGCCGTTTGTCAACGTAGCCTGCAGCAAGACACCAGTTGAACGAATGCTTTCTTCCCAAGCTAGCCTTGTTTTCAGATCTACTTTTTGGGGATTCTCGAAGTGTGTCAAGGCTCAACCAGTAGCAAGTTTATGTGCCATCACCAAACAAGATTGTGGTTTATGAGCTTTGATTGAAAGACCACAACTACAGAACTGAATAGTGGCCACTTCGCAGGTGGCAGTAGCTATGGCTAAGCTGTCGTGAGGTTTGCTTAGGAAGCCACTCGAGCTACGAGTTGTTCATCGTTGTTCCTAAGAACATTGGATAAGAGCATTTCCCTGAAGATTCTGGAGATACTAACAAACAGACATTGCCGTTTACAGATAGTGGGGCTGTGACTTGTGAGTTGTTGTGTAAGGGGAAGCGGTGTCATGCGTTGGGATATTTACATTGTCGGCCGGTCGACCTGCCTCTGAAGAAGCAAAATCACCTGGGTTTTACATGCCAATTAAGCTCTAGCCTTTTTGTTGGCCCATCCTGCACAGGATCCCCTCCAACCCTGCAAGCCGCATCCTGCCGAGCCCCTGCCCTATTTGGTTAGTTGCTCGCCGGGAGGCAGCGACTCCTTGAGCTATCCACCAGATCGTAGCTGTCAAAATCCTGGCGGTCCACCGACCTGCCGGGCAGCTTCCGCGGTTTCCCGGCGCCAAGGGATGCGCCGCCGCTCGTCAAGCAAAGGGGTTCCAACCGGATCCCTGAAAAAACGGGAGAGATTGGTCTCCCCTACGCTCTCTGGGTATCTAGGAGCTTGTCTCGGAAATTCTCACTCGAGGCTCGACTGCACATATTTGGAAGTGTGATGTCTGAAAACAAGCACAACTTTAAATGCATGCCGCCAGGAAAAGCTGCTAATGTGTGGGACCCTTCCCGCAGAAGGAATGAAGGTCATCCGTCTAGGAGTTTCTGTCACTAAACAGGGCTGTGAAAAGAACACAACTAAACAAGGACGGGAAAGTCTCAAGCCAGCGCGTTGCACGCGTGCCCACTGTCTTTCAGCTCAGGCACTCAACCACCAGGTTGTCCTCAGTCTGATGTTAGCACCTCTTTCACCCAGCACACCAAGAACTCCCAATCGCAACTGTGATAGAACGGAGAAAACAACTCATGTGCCTAAATCCCAGAATCTATCCTGATAATGTCGGGACGTGGCCAGCCCTGGTTGCTGGATACCTCTCTACTTGAGATGTCTGCAAACGCAACCAGCGCGTGGCAAAACGCCTCCGAAGTGAGCCAGAGTTTGATCTTTGACCCGGTCTCAAAATCCCCAGACACCCAAAAGGGTTGGCTTCCTTTTCGGTTTCCCTTCACAAGCAATCAACCAACATGGCTCCGCACCCCCAAAAAAACCAAACAAAAACACAAGTGATGCCCGCTGACTCCCAGCTTGTTCTTACTTGCACGCCGAGATGCGCGGAGCAGCACGGTCTCCCGCCGTTCCTGCAGGAACAAAAAAGTTCATTTTGAGTGTTGACACGGAAACTGAAGGGAAACTCCCCATTTCAGGATGCTCTAGTGAGAGACGAACCCAATGGATTCATCAACATGCTACCCAGCCAACCCTATCTACCCGGGTTTTGATTGTGGCTTAGACATCTTGAACAGTATCATTTTCTGCCAGGCTCGCAGGGTCAGCGTGGGGAGTCATAGAGATGCAACAGCTAAAGTAAGAGCAGAAGCAACAGCATCAACAAGCGCTACACACATAACCTCCACAGCCGCCAGCAGCAGTAGCAGCAGCAGCAGCAGAAGCGACAACTTGACAACGGCAACGACAACGACGACTACCACCAGTACAAGCACAACCAAATCCACCACAGCAAATCACCTCAGGCACGCACTGCACGCGCCTCGTCCCCGTCTTCCCAAATATCTTTACCATGTCTGGTCGTTGTAGAGAGGGCCTGGGCTTCATCCATGTTGGATTTCGACTCACTTACTTCGCATTGCCCCAAGCTCGAGGCCAACTTGATGTCGAAATCTTGCTCTGGGAGGGTGGCAACCCGGGCATTCTGAATTCCCACGCTCATGGATCAAGTCTTGTCAGCCATATATCCTTTTTTCCTACGAATCTTGTCTGACTCGCCTACATATTCCTGACCAACCACAAACATAGTGCAACTTGTTTTATCATACACAGTCCTTGCAATGGTTTGCCGAAAGTCCAGCACAAGTTGGCCAAGCCAGCTTCGACAATTGAAGCCATGACCGTGTGCCCTTGACTGATTGCATCTTGAGACTCTGAAAAGCTGAGCTTTACAACGTCTTGACAAACCAAGGAGTACCATACTGGCAACAGCGACAAATCGTTAAATTGTGATAGTTGTCTGTCTCTACGGATGTCATGGCCCTCTGCTTAACTACAGTTGTCTACAGGTTTGCATACTCTGTCTTACTCAACACTACTTGCAACCCTCAAGAAATCTCAAGAACCCTTTGCTACCTGCTTGTTGTCACATCTGCCAGTGTATACCCACAAAAGTCCACAAGCATACACCACGACTGAGCCGGCCTTCTACGGAAAACTCCGCGCGCGCGGGGGGGGATTCTTGCAGGCCCGCGCCACACGACATGTCTGAGCTCGAAGCCCAGCAACACCGCAGAAACTGCATGTACGCCTCGGCAATTGAAACTTTGACAGCCTCGCACAACACAACATGATTAGAGTTAGGCCCAGGTCAGGTATAGAATGAATATTTTATTGTTTGCTTCACATGGAGTCACTGGTAAAATGTAAAATGTATCCTAAGTCTACCCCAGACAAGAGTACTGCCTCAGCTCCACAGCAAGCCCGAGCCGATACACAACCCAGCGACCCCACTGAAACCAATAGCCGAAGATACGGCCCCCCCATCAACAACCGGCTCTTGTAAAGATATCCCGCTGACATGCGCGGTTCGAGCTGAGAAACATGAAATCAGCAAGCCCCCCATCGCTTTTCATCGCGTCTACTGGACAGGTGGCGCTAGAAATTATTGCAAGGGAATTTTGGTGTGCAGAGCAATAGGAAAACACAACAAAACACATCTGAGTGGCATCTGTGGCCTCATGCAGCGTCCCTATTTGATCCATTGTCGACACTCCCGGAGGACCCGTCCACTTTTGATTGAAAAGAACGTCAGACACCTTCTCCGGTGCGCACCGTTCACAGCCAAACATCTTGTGGCAATCCAGCGGTGTCCATGCCAACTGCAAGCAAGACACTGCCTCGCGCTCAGCGAATCCTGGCAACACCAGGGAGTTGCTATATCCAAGCCCTTTATCATTTAAAATATGGGGAGTCATGTCCCCCGTTCCCGCTTCGAATTCATGCCAAAACCATAGCCACGTCGAGCATTGACCTTCCTACAGCACAAATGCATGACCGTCGCTCATGCGAAACTACTTAGCCAACACTTTGACTTGTTGCTTCAAGCACCTCAGACATTCGCGCCTGAGGGGTTTGCGGGATCACGCACGATAGCCTGCGGGGCGCTTTCTGCATGCAGTTTTGAAGACTGCCGTGCAATCAACGCTTGCTGCAGGTAGCTCTCATTCCGTCTTAAAATTCCTGCCAAGAGCCATCTTGCAACTTACGCATCCAACGCCACCCGTCGGTTCTCAAAATAGGGTCAGCCCCAGTTTGGTGTTGATTTTCACCCCAAGGTAGCTTCAAAAGAAAGCAACCACACCCATACCGTCCCATACCCACTACAAAGCCGAGCCGCTTTTGCTAGGAAGGGAATGACCTTCCATTTTTTGGCAATGAAGCGGTTTTGGAGATTTCCGAATAAAAAAAACCAAATCGGGTTCCCGGTTTTTCTCATTCCCTGTTTACCGAAACAGCAAAGTGAGTTCGGCGACCCAAGAATGGCAGGTCCGGAAACCAATCCCCAAAAATAATTTAACCCCCACTTTAAAAAAAAAGACAAACCCAAAATGGGCAAAAGACAAAAGAGGCACGCCCCAAATGGACAAAAGAAAGAAGAAACACGCCCCAAATGGACAAACAACAAAACACGCCCCCAAATGGACAAAAGAAAAAAGAGACACGATCCAAATGGACAAACGAAAAACGAGACACGCCCCCAAATGGACAAAAGAAAAAAGAGACACGCCCCAAATGGACAAAAGACAAAATAGACATGTCCCAAATGGACAAAAGACAAAAGAGACACGCCCCAAATGACAAACGAAAAAAGAGACACGCCCGTAAATGGACAAAAGAAAAAAGAGACACGCGCCAAATGGACAAAAGAAAAAGAGACACGCCCCAAATGGACAAAAAAAAAAAAACGAGATACGCCCCAAATCGACAAAAGAAAAAAGAGTCACGCCCCAAATGGACAAAATAAAACGAGATACGCCCCAAATGGACAAAAGAAAAAGAGACACGCCCCAAATGGACAAAAAACAAAAACGAGATACGCCCCAAATCGACAAAAGAAAAAAGAGACACGCCCCAAATGGACAAAAGAAAAAAGAGACACGCCCCAAATGGACAAAAGACAAAAGAGACACGCCCCAAATGGACAAAAGAAAAAAGAGACACGCCCAAATGGACAAAACAAAAAAGAGACACGCCCCAAATGGACAAAATAAAAAAGAGACACACCCCAAATGGACAAAAGAAAAAAGAGACACACCCCAAATGGACAAAAGAAAAAAGAGACACGGCCCAAATGGACAAAGAAAAAAAGGCACGCCCCAAATGGACAAAAGAAAAAAAAAGACACGCCCCCTGCTTTCATTTTCTCAAAATAGGGGTACCTCCAGTTTGGTGGTGTTGATTTCCACACCAAGTTAGCTTCACAAGGAAGCAACCACATCCATACTGCCATCACCCCACCACCTGGCTGCCAATTCGTGGTTCCCAACACTTGCTTGTGCTCAGTAGGGACTGACCGAGACCGGGTTTAGGGAATGAGTCGGTTTTGGGGAGTCTCGAAAGGAAACCAACTCGGGTCCCGGTTTTTCTCGTGTCATCCCAATTCTCATTCCCTGAGAACCTAGAATTCCCTTGCAGGAAACCATAGGGGATGGCTTTGCTCGGGGTCATTCCAATTCTCATTGCCTGCCCATCCAACCATCCAACCCCCCCCCCCCACCCCAACAAAAAAGAATTACCCCCCCCCCCCCTCCAAAGAAAAAGGAGACACACCCCAAATGGACATGGGAATACATGCTTTGCCCATCCAACCATCCAGAAAAAAACAAATCAGACCCCCCCCTCTCTCCCCACCAAAAAAAAACAAAAAACCGCGCGACCCACCCATCCCCGGGGCCATGTTGATCTCCGGCTTCCCGCTGAAGGCCACGCCCGGCGGCGTGGCGGCCCGAGACCTGCGCACCACCTCCACGAAGGCCAAGACGCCTCGAAGGCCCGGCCGCCCGGCCGGGCCGAAGGCGGGTCGACCGGGTGACTCCCCCGGGTCGAAGGCGACCGGGGGTGCCCAGGTGGTGGAGGGGGTCCCGATGTCATCAAGATGTTCCGTGACCATGTGTAGCAAATTCGGTTGTTTCCAGGGGTGCCAAGCTACATACCCTTTTTTACATAGTTTTTTGGATAAATTTTAACCCAAAAGGCCTGCCGATGTTCATACCCCTCTCCCCAAAAGAGTATAAAACCGCTTATAAAGTGGGTTGGAAACACCCCGGCCAAAATACGGCTGTGGTGGTCAAAAACTTGGCAACCCCCAAATGGCTTGCCCTGGGAAATCGAAAGGACTAAAACCTGCGGTCCAATTCCTGGTGGTTTAATTTTGACCCATACCTGGCCGCGGAAGGACTTCAACCATCCCTTGAGGTATCCTCTGGTCGAAAAAAACGCGCCCAAAATACTGTACTGCTGCGAGAGATGCGGGGAATGAGACATGCAAGAAATTCTAACCCATCCAACTGGTGGTTTCCTTTAAGGGATCCCTGGGTTCATTCCCAACACCCGGAAGGTCCTTCCCCACTGAGCACCAGCAAGAGACGCCCGGGGTTCCCTTTCCTGATTATTAAAAGACCAACAGCTGAAAGCCTTGGGGTCGTCTTTGCCCGTAGAGGCAATAAGGCAGCTTGGGAAGGTTCCGGGGCTGACGGGGATACCACCTAGGATTCGTCAGAAAAGACACCACAAGTGGTGGTCCAGGAGTCGCTGTACTAAAGGGCCCACAAGCAGGCTGACAAGGCTGGCCACTGCTCCCTTACTAACTGAGATTTGCGGCGACCTAAGTACGCCCTGCTCTCCTCCTCGATTCTAAAGAGATACACAAAATCTGCATGACGCATTTCGGTGTTGTCGTTGATATCGTGTTGTTTGGTTAACTTCTTGTATAGGTTTTGTTTTGATCTCTAGGGAAAACTGCTTGTTTCTAATTCAAGCAGGTTCAGGGCCAAAACCATACTATCGATGGCAGCAACTTGTTGGCATCTATGGAACATTGAGAGGAACTGAGGAAAGCCCGCGGTCTTAAAGCCGTTTGTATTCCTTGTCATGTGTCTATCGGCTTGTTCTCCTCTGCCACTCAATAAGGCCCAAAGGCCCAGTACTTTACAGCTGAATTGCACCTATCAAGGACAGCCTTTTTTCCTTACAGTTTTGCAGGGATGGTTTGTGCAAAATAGCACTGACGCAATACTAAAGCCCTTTTCCCTCCACCCAGTTTATATAACCCTTTATGGTTGTCCGGGGGCTTTGAAGCCCAGGTTGATTAGAACCTCACTGGTGCTATGCCACACCTCCAGGAGTCCAATTAGGGCCAACCCTGTCCCAACCGCCTGCAACACGTTCACTCCACTTCCCTTTGGCATCATCCTGATGAATGCTTTTCAGATGCAATCTGGTGAAATGAACCCAAGAGGACCAAAGGCCCGACAATAAGGCTGTAACAGACATGCTGCTCCGTGGATTTGGGCCTTGACCGTCGCTAAAGGCATTCCAACTCCTAGCCTCTAACTGCCTGGGCTGAACCTGCACTGCAGTCTTCATCCGCATTTTGGATGAGCTCATGCTTCTTCGGGGGTTGCGCAGTTGGCTTAGTACCTTGCAGGATGAGACTCAATTTCCACACCAAAAAGTATGTTGCACTTGCAAGGTGGCAAACATCCGAGTTTGGAGTGGCAACTGGGGACTTGTAGCTTTCAATTTGGAACGTTGAGCGTGCGTGTCAGTTTTTAGATCTGGACCTGTCGACTTGTCAACTCTTGTTGTAAAGCGATCGCCAGTTTCTCCCTCGATCGCTCCCGACTTCGGCTCTCTCCGCGCCTACCATTTGGGTCACCAAGGTCACGAGGTTCGGAAACCTCGCACGCTCGCACACTCGGCGGATCAAGCAGGTGGGTGCAAACCCGTTGCATCGATCATGGGGGCAGTTGGGTTTCCCAGCGAAGTGCAGCTTTTAAGGAAAACTTCCCACGAAACGGCTGTGGCCCAAAAGTGGGCACCCAAAATGGAATCCTGGAAAATGGAACCATGGCCTAAAACCTGCGGTCCAATTCCTGGTTTAATTCTGGCTCATACCAAAATGGCCATGGGTCAAAATCCCGTACCCCCAGTGAACATCCCAATCCAACCACTAAACTAGGTTCTAAAGTGGGTGGTGAATTCACCTACCCCAAAATGGGATCAACCAACACGGTGACCACCACCGCCAAATTTGACCCCAACAAATCGGAATCTGTGCCGCTCGCTGCAGCTCAGCGGCTCCAGGTAGTACGAAGACACGCCTCTGGAGAAGCAACCTGCAGCATCCAAATGGGACGAAACTGACCGGTGTCCGCTAGGGGTTGCCCTAAAAGTAGGACCCGGGTCTCAGTTCTTCAGTGACCCTGGAAAAAAAAGGGAGCCCTACCCATTTTCTTTGGAAGACCATTTTTAGTGGGGCCACCAAAAAAAAGGGAAACATAATTGGTGCCACTGAACAACTGAGTGGTAAATGCCAAACACGGGTGACCCCAGCTTACAGGAACCTCCTGTTTGGAAACCCTCATCCCTGCAGGAAGCGTCTCATTGGTGAGGGTCCTACCTTGTCGCCCTAAATTTATTGCTATAAATCTAGATGGACAAGGCCTCAAGGAAGCGGCCTCCGCATGTGAAATGATCCGAGAAGTGCCACAATGTGCCCGGCGTCTCCATGATCTTCCTGCCAGCTGCGAAGAGATTTGCATTTTTTGTTTCTCTCCAAATGACACAGCCTTCAGCAACCTCATTGACAGCTGTCTCTGGGCGCTTTGCCTGCACTAAATGTTTAAGCATTTGCTGCAACCGGCGATAAACTTAATGGGCTGTGTTTGGGCTGACATCCCAGCGCAGTCCTGTCGGTTCTTTGTTGCATTCGCCGCAGATGGCATTGACCGTCGTTGATGCCTTCTATTGCAAGTACGTCATCCACTTTCGCCGTAAGCCTCGCGGCAGTGAGGAGTCGCATGCAAAGGCACTCGGTCACGCGAATGCTACTTGTCGCTGTCTAAACATCCAGCCAATGGAATCAAGGACAGCAAGCTTGTAGTTGCACATTGCCGCTTGCATCTTGTCGCCCAAGTGCCAGTTCCGCTCGTCTGATATAAACCAGGCCAACAGCAATGTATGCATCATACAATTGGCATTCAGAGTAGATGGGCGTGATTGGTTCCAACATGGTTCATAGCGTTGCTATTTCTTCCCTCATAATGTATGATCCAATTTTCCTGCCTGGTCCAAACCGGTGGAAGCATCCTTGGCATCGTGGACTCTGACAAGCAAGAAACTGTCTGTTCACAGACTTCTTACCAACAAGCCGAGCAGCGTTTATATGATGCCCTGAGGCAACAGCGACAAAACCCTTTCCGCTTAAATCAGCACAAGGTTGCCAAGCAACGATATAGCAGAACCGTGGCAACAACTATGGCCAAAACGAAGTCGGTTGAACAGTGCAGGGATCCTAAAGAGCTTTGGGTGCGCACAATCACCCCGACAAGAGCCTCTAGAACCTTACAACAGCCAAAAGGAATTGCTTGTGCTAGCAGGAAGTCTGCTACAATGCACGGGCCCTCGGTCGATACACCCCCTGCCATGCGTTGACAAAATGGATGTAGGAATCTTCGCCCTATGACATGGCTGGTGTGTCAGACAATCGAGGGCTCTGAGTTGGAAGTCGTCAAGGCATGTCGGTAAAAGCCGGCGGGCCGTGTTGAAAACATAGAAAAGCCTTCAAATATATATCCTCTCCCTATCAAGCTTGCAGTCATTGTGGCGCCTTTTGTCGAAGAGTTCTGGGAATCTAAGATTCTTTCAGACTTCCGCAGTCTGTTTGTTAGCTTCCGCAGGAACCAAAGGTCAAAAATTGGAAAGGGTTGCGAAAGGGGTGCGAAGCAAAGAGGGAGAAGGCGAACATGTTTCAAACCAGTAAACCACCCTCACAGTGGTCACGCTGAACATAAAACAAAGGTCCATTCATAGCTTCAACTGGATAGGTCCCACGCGCTCCAAAGCCCCTGTGCATGCACCAGAATTCAATTGCAGCTCTTGGAAATCAAGGCTTCCACCTGGCAGATTCGCATCTCTACGACTTTCCCAGACCGAAATCCAACTGACGAGCAACTCCAAGCCATGAGATCCAATGAGAGTGGTACCAAAAAAGTGGACTGCATCACCAGCATCATCCCGGCTTGCCTTTGGCGGGCTTCCTGCTTGGTGCAGGTGGTGGCTCTGCATCAACCGCATTGTTTGGACACGGTTTTAGTCTGGGCCAGGAAAAGCAAAAACACAGGGACAGGTGCCAAACGTGCACTGCATCACCAGCATCATCCCGGCTTGCCTTTGGCGGGCTTCCTACTTGGTGCAGGCGGTGGCTCTGCATCAACCGCATTGTTTTGACACAGTTTCGGTCTGGGCCAGGAAAAGCAAAAACACGAGTGCTTTGCAGGCTTCCTGCTTGGTGCAGGCGGTGGCTCTGCATCAGCCGCATTGGTTGGACACGGTTTAGGTCTGTGTACAGGAAATGCACAAAAAACGAGGAGAGGTGCCAAAAGTGCTTTGCATCACCCGCATCAGCCCGGCTTTGGCAGGCTTCCTGCTTGGTGCAGGCGGTGGCTCTGCATCAGCTGCATTGGTTGGACACGGTTTCGGTCTGTGCCAGGAAATGCACAAACACGGGGAGAGGTGCCAAAAGTGCTTTGCATCACCCGCATCATCCAGGCTTGCCTTTGGCAGGCTTCCTGCTTGGTGCAGGCAGTGGCTCTGCATCAACCGCATTGGTTGGACACGGTTTCGGTCTGTGCCAGCAAATGCACAAACACGGGGAGAGGTGCCAAAAGTGCTTTGCATCACCCGCATCATCCAGGCTTGCCTTTGGCAGGCTTCCTGCTTGGTGCAGGCGGTGGCTCTGCATCAACCGCATTGGTTGGACACGGTTTTGGTCTGGGTCAGGAAAAGCAAAAACACAGAGACAGGTGCCAAACGTGCACTGCATCACCAGCATCATCCCGGCTTGTTTTTGGCAGGCTTCCTGCTTGGTGCTGCATCAACCGCATTGGTTGGACACGGTTTCGGTCTGTGCCAGGAAATGCACAAACACGGGGAGAGGTGCCAAAAGTGCTTTGCATCACCCGCATCATCCAGGCTTGCCTTTGGCAGGCTTCCTGCTTGGTGCAGGCGGTGGCTCTGCATCAACCGCATTGTTTTGACACGGTTTCGGTCTGTGCCAGGAAATGCACAAACGGGGAGAGGTGCCAAAAGTGCTTTGCATCACCCGCATCATCCAGGCTTTGGCAGGCTTCCTGCTTGGTGCAGGCGGTGGCTCTGCATCAACCGCATTGTTTGGACACGGTTTCGGTCTTGGCCAGGGAAAGCAAACACACAGGGACAGGTGCCAAACGAACACTGCATCACCAGCACCTTTAGGCTTCCAACTTGGTGCAGGCTTGTGGTTCTGCATCAACCGCATTGGTTGGACATGGTTTCGATCTCCAGGAAATTCAGAGATACCAAAAAGTACGCTGCATCACCAACATCCAGGGCATGGTTTGCTTGACATTCAACCTTCCGCGAACCCTTCCAAGCTTCCGAAAGGCGTGAACTGTTGCTGCGGGCGTGTTTTTTGAGTTAAAACTGCTTCTGCGGGCATGTTTCGGTGACTTTTGCTTCTGGTTGATTTTGGACTGTTGTTACACTGGTCGCTGCAACACACAAACCTTCCGCGAAGCTTCCGCAAGGCAAACCCTGGACCCTCCTTCCGTGACTGCAGTTCCACATACATTGTACAAGAATAATGTCCACCCGCTTACATGGTACTTTTAATGGTTAAAAAAAATAGCGAAGCTCACGCGGTTTCGGTCTGGGCCAGGAAATGCACAAAAATGGGAAGAGGCGCCAAAAAGAGCACTGTGTCAACATCATCAGCCAGGCTTGCCTTTGGCAGGCTTCAGTCTGGGGTTCTGCATCAACTGCAATTGTACATTCTGGGTTGATGTGGGTGTGAATTTAATAAGGATCCCTGCAGTGGACCCTATTTAGGTGAGGATTTATGTCCACCAACCACTTTGGAGGTGGTTCCTCGTAAAGATTCATGGCCATTTCACTCTGACCTGTTGCGACAAGGAACTCTTGAAACAATCTATCTGCCCTTACCGACGGCGAATATTGAAGAAGTTGCTATCCAGCTCTCACTTGCAGCTGATGGACAGGCAACTACTCCAAGGACTCATTCAACGGCTGTGCGTGTGCGCTGGCACCTGATTTAGTAAGCCAGGCGTCAAGAGCTCATTGGGCCCATAGATTGCACAAGCATAGCTCACCTGCGAGCTGTGATGCCAGGAGCCTAGAATTGAGCCGAAATCCCTTGACTTTGGATTTCCCCATTTGCTGGTGGCGCCATTGAAACAAAACTCATGGCCAACAAGTCGCGGCCGTCGCGCGCGCAAGCTGGAATGCCCTTCGCATGCATGCACCCGGGTAGATATGTCTCAATATGATATCAATATGTTTGCTTGTCAAGTTGAACAAACATATATTTAACGTCTCCGGCTCAGGCCGCCGACATTACAGGCCTGCTTTCTTATTTGCGTCCCTTTGGAATTGTCCCCTTGCACCCCTTCCCCTCCAAGATCTTCCCCCCCCCCGTCCCCCCTGAGATCTTCTCCCTTTTCCTCCCTAAGATCTTTTTCCCCCTTTCCCTGTTGAGATGCTTTCCCCCCTTCCCCCCTAAGGCTTTTTCACCCCGGGAGATCTTCTAACTTTTCCTCCCTAAGATCTTTTCCCCCCTTTCCCTCCTTGTCCCCCCATGAGATCTTCTCACTTTTCCTTCCTAGGATCCTTTCCCCCATTTCCCTCCTAGGATTAAGTGGCCTCGTGCCACGCGGTGATTCCAAGACGTTCCACTCAATCCTTTCTTCTGGGGGCTGTGCGGGACAGTTTCGTAAAAACATTGGGGTGTTCGATTTTTCCGGGTCCGTTGTTGCATCAGCACCTGCCAAGGATGCGGGTACTGGTGGAAGGAAAATGCATGGAAATGAATGACATGAAGTGAAATGAAGGAAAAGGGAAAAACAACCATAAAGGGACATGGAGGGAAGGGAAACATATTTTAGGGGGGGGGGAGAGTGTTGGGGGGGGGGGGAGATCTTAGGGGGCAAAGGGCAAAGGGGGGCAAAGGAAAAGATCTTAGGGGGGAAAGGGGGAAGAGATCTTAGGAGGACAAAGCAGGGAAAAGATTGGGGGAAGGAGGGGTGGAGAAGATCTTCGGGGGGGGAGGGGAGATCTCAGGAAAACGATCTTAGGGGTGAAAGGGGGAAAAAATCTTCTGTGGGGGGGAGGGGGGAAAAGATCTTAGTGGGGGGGAAAAGGGGGGGGGACAGAGCTTAGGCTTAGGAGGGGAAAGGGGGGAAAAGATCTTATAAGGGGGGTGGGGAGAGGGGGAGAGGATCTTGGGAGGAGCAAGAGTGGAACAGATGCTAGGAGGGTTAGGGGGGGAAGGGTGGAAAAGATCTTTGGGGGGGAAAAGGGGAAAAGATGCTATAAGGGGGGGAAGGGGGGGGGGGGGGGAAGATCTTAGGAAGGAGGGAAAGGATCTTTGGGGGGGGGGGGGAGGGGGGAACGATCTTCGGGGGTGGAGGGGGGAAAAGATATTATAAGGGGGAAAAAAAGTGAAAGAAGGAAAGAGAAAGGGGGGAGAAGATCTTGGAGCGGGAAAGGTGGGAAAAGATCTTAGGGAGGAAAAGGGAGAAGATCTCAGGAGGGGAAAAGGTCTTAGGGGGGAAAGGGGGGAGAAGATCTTAGAGGGGGAAAGGGGGGAAAAGATCTTAGGGGGGAAAAGGGAGAAGATCTCAGGGGGGGGAAAGGCCTTAGGGGGGAAAGGGGGGAAAGGATCTCAACAGGAGGGAGGAAAAGGGAGAAGATCTCAAGGGGAAGTCTTGGGGGGGAAACGGGACAAGAGGGGGGAAAGGATCTCAACAGGGAACGGGTGGAAAAGATCTTAGGGAGAAAAAGGGAGAAGATCTCGGGGGGGAAAGGCCTTTACAGGGAAAGGGGGGAAAAGATCTTGGGAAAGGGGGAGAAGGTCTCAGGGGGGGACGGGGGGGAAAAGATCGTAGAGGGGAAGGGGGGCAAGGGGACAATTCTGAAGGGATGCAAATAAGAAAGCAGGCCTGTAATGTCGGCGGCCTGAGCCGGAGGCGTTAACATAATCAATATAGATATAGTGTGTTGCTCGAATCCGTTTGCACTCTGGCCATACTTGATGCAGCCTTCCCGTCATGCCAAATGCGATGCGCTCAAGTTTGCTCGTGGCTTCCCACTTCCCATAACCCGCTGGCAGACTGGTCTTGCGGTTTCAGGCTCCAGCCTTTGGTGAGGTTTTCTCCTTGAAGACCGCGAAGGCATTGCACTGCGCCTGGACGCCTGGAAAACCCGTGCCTGAGACTTGCCTGAGTGCCTGTCCCAAGGAGGTAACTTTTGTCTCATTCGGGGAAGCAGGCGCATTCCTCAGCATAAGGCTATCTTCCCCAAATTCGGCATGGCACATCCTCTCATGGCGTTCGACGTTTGGAAGGTTGAAAAGGAAGCCAAAAGAAAGCAGCGAATGGTTGCTCCCTTCCAACAGTCAGTGGACAGGCCTTGTCAAAAGGAGTGTAGTCTTCCAAAACCCTTCTGTCAGCTTCCACGTTGGAAGGAGGGGCGTTTGATTCGGAAACCCGGCTGCGGGTGCCCTGCCTGTTGCATTCCGGCATGATTCCCAGCAAAACTCATGTGTGTCGTCGTCACCATATGGCACCGACCTCTGCGAGTCAGGATCGCACCAGTCAAACAGCTGGATCCTGGGTGAGTCTTTAACGGGATGCATTGTTTTTGAGTTTTATGTGCGTTTATGTGTGCGCGTGCTTGACCGCAGCTGTTCAACTTCACACATCGGTTGCGCTGTAACACCAAACCACATATTGTGCTATCAGCTGCCTTCAGCAAAGGGTTGCTCTTCGAATGACAATCACACGCACATGAGCGAGACACTCACGGAGTCCCAAATGTTCTGTCCGCAACGCACTAAAGGTACGAAACAGAAACATAATGGTTTATTATCTTCATGTGCACCTGGGCTTAACGAAAACAGCAAGAAGACACGAAGGTGACACAAAGGTGTATCCCGGCTGTCAATGGAGGTCCCTCATTCATTCTCGCCCTCTGTACTACATCACAGCCGGCCACAAAAACCGAACATTGAGGTGTAGATTGCATCGCGATCAAAATGGTCCGAACTGGCTGCTTCTGTTGTTTGGACTGAGAGCCTTAGACACAGAGGTCCCGAAAGGGAAACCAAAAGCAACCAACTCTCTACCCTTATGGTCACTGGGGCCCGGGATTGCTTCAGAAAATTGGTCCCAAAGGGGAACTAAAAGAAACCAACTATCTACCCCTACGGGATTGTTCAAAACCCTTTGGTGTTTCGGTCGCTCCTTGAAATGATCATTTTTCCACCTTCAAACAAGTTCAGGCGGTTGATCAAAGATTTCACCAAGAGCCAAATGTTGCTTGTGCGACGTGGCCCGAGCCTGGTGAAGACGTTGCGAAGCGCGCTGCGAGGATAGTCGTGGAGCTTCTGCCGAACCGGACATTGGTAGCAGCCCAAGGGATTCCAAACCGATGTCTTTGAACAGCACCCCCGCAAAAAAAAAAAAATGGCAACTGGCTGGCCCAAAGGGCTGGGAAATATCAAGACTCAAGCAGCTTCAGGGCTGATTCGTCTAGTGGCCATGCCGAGCCTCAATAGGTTCGTAGGCAAATGAAATCTGTCAACTTGTTCAGGCCTTTTGCGCTACAAACCTGTGGTCAATCACTTCTCCCGGGTCGAAGTTCCTGCCTGCTCGCATGGCACCTGCACAAAGTTCTGGTCAGGAGCCTGGCAAAAACAGCTCAGCCTGTTGCCAGCCCGTCATGGAAGATGCACATGGCGATCTTGCAGCAATGTGGCTGTGGTTGTCAAAACCGTTTTGGGATCCCATTTTGGTTGGTAGGTGAATTCACCACCAATTTTAGAACCTATTTTAGTGGGGATAGGGATGTTCACTGGGGTACTAGTACGGGATTTTGACCCATGGCCATGTGGCTCGCAGGAACAGTCACGCAATGGCTCGTGCGCACAGCCTCGTGCAAACAGCAAGGTTGGTTCGGCACTGCAAAACAGCGGGCAACACCGCAGCAGGCTTGAAAGGTGACAGCAACACCCAAGGCAGCTCCATGGCACTCCGCCCTCCAACTCATCACTCCATCGCAAAGCCCAGATTTGTAGCCAGGATCAAAATTGATATGATGGTTCCGCAAAAGGACATGCGGAAATGCGCAAGTTCACGAAACTTGCAGGACAAAGGTGAGTTTTTCAGAGCTACTGGGATCACTGGATATTTGGGGACCTTTTGCCTCAGGTTGAGACTGGGTGAGACGAAGTCTGGCCAGCTGCACTTTTCAGCTTCCCTTCGCGAGAGTCGGACTGAAGATGAGTGAACACTCCCACAATCCATGTAGGTAATATTTACCCACATTTGCCCTCATGGGCCAAATGTTGGTATATTTTGTTGTGTTTTTTTAATGGATTGTGTGGATTCAAAGGGGGTCCTATGTTGGTCCTTGCAACTGTCGGATGGGACAAAGCCAGGAGCCCTCCGGCCTCCATCGGTGTGCTGGGACAGTCGGCGTAGAGGAGGCAGGTCTGATTCAGCGCCATGGTGGGGTCTGAGAGCGAGCAACAAGTCGAGTCTCCCATGCCGTTGGATGCAAGGGATCACTCGCACCAACAGCGTGAGCCTTACGTGGACCGCTTTGAGGCGTTCAAATTGAGGCCTTTCAGAGTTTGGGCGGGTCAGGGCTTTTTTTGGGGTTCCGGATCAGAAATCAGGGGCACACAAAAGACAAAAACGCCGGGCCTCTGACCTACGTGATCTCGTTTTTTGAGGGTATTCCTATGTTGAGACAGCCCCATATGCGTCCCCCGCTTTCAACCAATAAGTGGTTCACAGAAAACGGGCTGCAGGCGCCTCGAGTGGAGAGGCTACTTTGCTGGAACGGCAGCGATGGAATCGTCTGCATTGGCCCGGTGGCCCGGTGGCCCGATGGCCCGGTGAAGGCGGTGGTCTGGACCAAAATCGGGGGCGATTCTGTCACACTTGCACACCTTCCAACACTTTCAGACTATCCCGAACACATTTGCGCACCTACACACTTCAGTGCTCAATCGGCCAAGCTGCGCTGGGTGTGGAAGATGTAGTTGCAGCCGTAGGTGGTCTGTGCAAATCAACAGGATGAGCATTAATTTTCCCTTTGGCAACGCTGGTGGGGGCTCCGTTCAAAGAACACGTCGCCCTGACCTTTGCGGCATCGTTGAAATAACCCGCTCGCCACTCCTACACCGCAAGGCCATGGCCCCCCACCCCAAAACGGAATTTATCAGGGCCTAAATGTTCAGGGAGGCGAAGGGGGGTGGGCTGCAAAAATGAGACCATCAAGTTCAAACTTGTAGATCTGATAGCCAAGAAATGATGATACCCCTACAATTTCGAGAAACTGAATCAGCTAAACGCCAAGCCCCAGGGCACCTGCTTGGCAGCAAGATCCCAGCATGATATGTCCATGCAGCGGTATTGTGGGTGAGGGGCATGGCTGACCAGAAATGTCTCATGATATGCCCAAACAAGAAAGGTGGGGGTGTGCCAAAAGCGGAATTAAGACTCGGATCCCCCAGTAAAGGGACCTTTCATGTTGAGCTCGTTATACCCCCGAATCGGTGCGCTCGCTATAAAATAGACAGATGCCCAGTGGCCATGGGAAAAAAGGGCATTCCTTTTTGGCTGTTTGACTTTAAAGGGGAACCCTTCCCAAAAAAAGGAAAAAGGGTATCACTGGGCACCTGAGAACTAGGCGGGAATTCGGACCCCAGCAAAAACATGATCTTTTTGCCTGGGTAGTGGAAAGCAAAGGGACCCCAAAAAAGCCAAACAAGAAGCAGGGGGAACTAATTCTGGGGAAGCGAATAGGCAGACGCGCCGAAACGGGCTGAAACCGAAACCCGTCCGGTCACCCCATCCGGCCTCGCAGAGCTCCTGGCATGCCGCCAGCGTGGGCGTGGCGGCGTTGTGCAAAGGCTCCCCGTGGCAGGCCAGGCCCTTACCGTAGATGTCCTTCCCTGGCGAGGCGAACAAACCCACCAAACAAGCCACCAAGTAGCCAAGTAGCCAAGTAGCCAAGTAGGCAAGTAGGCAAGTAGCCAAGTAGCCAAGTAGCCAAGTGACTAAGTAGCCAAGTAGCCAAGTAGCCAAGTAGCCAGGTAGCCAAGTAGCCAGGTAGCGGTAGCCAAATAGCCAAGTAGCCAAGTAGCCAAGTAGCCAAGTAGCAAAGTAGCCAAGTAGCCAGGTAGCCAAGTAGCCAAGTAGCCAGGTAGCCAAGTAACGTAGCCAACCAACCCACCAAGTAACCAAGTAACGTAGCCAACCAACCCACCAAGTAACCAAGTAACGTAGCCAACCAACCCACGAAATAACCAAGTAACGTAGCCTACCAACCCACCAAGCAACCAAGTATACAGTAACGTAGCCAACCAACCCACCAAGTAACCAAGTAACGTAGCCAACCAACACACCAAGTACCCAAGCGACCAAAGCAAACAACCAAACAACCAACTAACCAGCTAACCAAAGAAAAGCCGAAAGAAGTAGAAGCAACACAGCCCCAACTTCGCCGCCCGGCTCTTCCCACGGATTTGACAGGCAACCGTCCCATTCAGCCGTCAGAATTTCGGTGAATTTCTGCCCTCACTTCTTGGTTGCTGTTGATCCCTCCAAACAAAAACTAACTTCTTACGGGTCCGATGGATTTTTTTACTGTTTCCCAAATGCTAAAGTCCAAAGATCCAACAGGTCCTCCAAGCCGGGCAATGCACATCTTATCAATATGTGTTCATGTCGGATTTTCACGGCTTCATTGAGTGCCCCGGGGCACCGGTCTGTTCACCGGGAGAAGCGCCAGGGCCACCGAGCGCCTCCAATGTCCCTCCAGATCTTCTTGCCGCCGTTGGTGAACCAAACCTCGGTTTGCGTTTCATGGCGGAAGGGTTGAGTCACAGGAAAGTCTAGGGGAAATGGCCCCGAAACACACAGAAGAAGCTGTTTTCCTGTAGGATGTCCTGCAACTCAACCCTTTGATTGTACCCAATTCCGAAAAAGAAAACAAAACAACACTTGCCACAAGATCTTTGGTTTGATGCTGCCAGCTCAGCCAAGCAAAGGGCCATGGGAGTCACAAACAAAACCGAAACCCGGTCTGGGGCCTTCAGCATCCAAAGCCGCTGACTAAGCGCCAGGCGGGCAGGCTGGAGTAGAAGCACAGCGCACGCTCCTCAGCTCACCCCAATCTGGAGTCCCTCGGAAAGTGCCATGTGGCTGTACTTGTCCCCCTATGGCCACAAATCCGATGCAATGGAGGATGAGCACTGAAGGGATCAGCGAATCAGGCAATCTTAAAGCTCATCCCACTCAACGACAGACAGGTAGCTTGGAACCAAAGAAATGTCTCACCATCCCCACCATCCCCACCATCCCCACCATCCCCACCATCCCCACCATCCCCACCATCCCCACCATCCCCACCATCTCCACCATCCCCACCGCCTGTCTCAGCATCGCTCCGCTCGCTAAAGCGAGCGAGCGGCATATCTCAGGTCGATCCAGCGATTCGGGGGCCACCAGCCGTTGGTCTCCGGGCTCCAGGTCTCTGCCAAACAGCTCTCTTGCAGCTGCTGGCCTCAAACAAGACCCGAAGAAGAAAAAAAACGGCCAAAAAGAAGTACTCGGAAGGTGCCAGGCTCCTGGTGCCTTGATCACCAAGCCTTGTAGCAGGTTTTATGTACATATGTATGACTCATAATGTTCCTCTTGCGAAAATGAACAGCTTGCAATGCAAAAGAGGTACATGTATGACAGAAACATGTCATTGGGCTTCGATGCCCTGATGCAGTTTGTTTCGCTCATCGCTCCTGGCTTCGCATGATCTTGCATACGCCTAGCGATGCCACCCTAATCGCTCACGATCACCTGCACAATCTCTCTGATAACTTTGCTGGTGTCCATCGACTACATGGAGGTTTATGCCCAGCCAACTACTTTTGAGGGTGTCTCTCCTTAAAAAGCAACGGCGATCCCCGCGACAATATTTGATCTGAGCGCATGCGGCAACGCTGGGTTTCTGCTGGGAAAGCCCTCTCATTTGTGCCTGGTTAAGTGAGTCACAATCAAAACCCGGTATTAAAATGGTCTACCCAGAACCATGTAAAGAAATAAGAAGGCGGCCGCAGCTATTTATGGCTGGGATTGTCCCTTCCTAACCTTCATCTCCCCAGGCTTGGATTGTGGCTCAATTCTTGATGGGCCATTCAGCGTGCAGAGTTTTGCTCCATAATAACCAGAAAGACCAGCAGAACGTTGAGACTCATGACTCATGACCATCTCGCTGGCGCCCGAAGCTCACACGTGGAGCTATCAACTGATCTCATGGACCTGCAGCGTATAAGACATGGTCGACCTGGTTCACTTACCACACACAAAATCCCCACCCAAGACATGTCTTGAAGGGTTCTCTGCAAGGAAAACAGACTTGCAAAGTCCAACCTACGTGGATGGATATCTCGCTTGAAATGATGCAGGACGTAAGAACCCGCTTATGACATCTTCATGCTGCATGATCCCAAAAAATGATCAACTGTGATGACGACGACGGCTTCGACGAGGACGACAATTGCGCAAACGAGGTAGAAACGACGGGCACTTAAAATAGGTGCAAAAAACAAGCGCCGACTGTTTCCCCAGGGCCCCTGCAGTCTTCATGAAACAGCGGCTCCACGTCAGGCTCTTCCTCAAGTACCTCAAAGGCGTGTGTGTGTGTCTGTGTGTTTGTGTCTGTGCGTCTGTGTCTGTGTCTGTGTGTCTGTATGTTTGTGCGTGTCTGTGTGTAGGTCTGTTTGTGTGTGTCTCTGTGTGTGTGTGTGTGTGTGTGTGTGTGTGTGTGGGGGTCTGTGTCTGTGTGTGCGTGTATTTGCGTGTGTGGTGTGTGCGTGTCTCTGTCTCTGTGTCTTTGTGTCCCTGTGTCTGTGTCTGTTAGTATCTGTGTGTGTGCGTGTGTGTCTGTCTGTGTCTGAGGTTTCTCAGTGCGTGTGTGTGTGTGTCGCTGTGTGAAGGAATCACCGGATGTTGGGCTACCGTTGGCCGAGCTTACGCCATATGGGTCTGTCTCAACATGAGGCTGGTGAGGTGGTTTAGTTTTGGCCTCCCTATCAGAACCCCTCCCCCCCCAAGCTCCGCCCCCCAATAAACATGTAGCCTCAAAGATGTGCTTTCGACAAAGCGGTTGCTTTTCGTGCAGCAAAGCGGCCACCTCTATGATACCGGTCCTCAGCGCAAAAAGGCAATATGACGCCAACCGCATCATGTCTTGATGGAAACAAGTCCACGACTGTCTCAAGCGCCTTCTGCTCAGGCTCGCGCGGGCCAGATTCACATTCAGCCATGACCTAGGGCCGACCAAAGTTGACGATGCACTGAATGCCAACAGGGATCGCCAATAAACAAAACTCCTTCAGCAAAAGAACAACAGAGGCTTCTCTCAGGCGTCCACAAACAGGCCACCGTGTCCTTTAAGAAGCCAGGGCACTGGATGTTGATTAGAACGTATTGGAAGCAAACTGCCACGAGTGCCAGTTACTTGCACCAAACTGACCCAGGCACAGGGGTTCCTCGATTTCCTTTTCTTGGATCTCTAGTTTCAAGGGAAACAACCCCCCCCCACTTCTTTTCAGCCCCCCCCTCTCCGAAAACAAGAACAAGTGACCCCCCCAAACAGCAACAACCCCCGTTTCCCCCCACTCCTTAAAGGGTTTTTCCTGAACCCAGGCGTTTCCCCCTCGTTTCCCACTCGCCGCACGTCTCACGTCTCAAGTCCCTCGAGGGCCCCGCCTGGTCAAAGTCCACGGCCCCCCGCTGCGCCAGCAGGGCGTTGGTCTCGGAGTCGCTGGCGCCGATACTGCGCGCGGGTTCGGTTTCGCGGATTCCGACGTGGATCCGTTTTTTTGGGGGAAAAGTAAAATAAAACGAAGCCCCGAAAGGCAAAGTGACGAAAGGCGGCTCGAAAGGTAGGGGAGGACAACATAGGTGGCTTTTTGGAAAAATAGATGGGTTTCCCTGGTAGATGGAACAAAACCATCCAAACCAGTGCTATCTATTTTTAGCCAACCTAATCAGGACTCCTATTGGACACCTATGACAATCGAGTCCTTCCGGGTCCGGGAACAAACCCGACGCGAAAAAAGTCGAGTTGTGCTAACTCGTGCGGCGTTTTTCATGTATGGGGCTGGAGAAAAGGGGGGGGCTGGGGCAAAGTGACTTGCTGGTGCGATAGGTCGGGAATGACAACTGAAACGATTTTTGGTGATTCCCTTCAGAAGCAGATGACCTCCTTCCGGGTTTCGGGATTGAACCCGTTTGGGGATTCCCGAAGAAAGGACACCAAATCGGATGGATGCTTTTTTCTAGGGGTCATTGCAACTCATTATTCTCATTCCCTGCCTATCGAACCAGCAGAGTGAGTTCGGTGACGCAAAAATGGCAGGTCTGACCCCTGGGTGGGCATCATAAAAAGGTGGGGTTCATGTTCAAGCATTTGGGAGAGTGTTTCGCGTAGAACTTAGCCACATCGCGGCTCAGGGAAGTTTAGAACAGCTCTCCTTGGCTCTAGGTTTGCGTGCCATCCTTTCGCTCTGTCCGTTGGGTCCTCTTCAACACCAGGCCCGGCTTCACATGGTAGCGACCGCCCATGGGATTTCCTGAGAAACGCGACGGCTGCGACCCCCGGATCGTCAAAAACTTGGCCGACAACGTGTTCAACGCTGGAGGAATGCCACTGGCCGTCGCTTCGGAAGGCGAGAAAAGGACATGGGTATGGGTCAAAATTAAACCACCAGAAAACCGCAGGTTTTGGTCCATGTTTCCATTTACCAATATTCCATTTCGAGTACATATTCTTAGACGAAACCCTGGTAAAAGGAACCCATGACTAAACCAGGCGGTTGGTGGTTGATTCTTGACCCACACCCACACCTCCGAACATCTGCCGCGCTGCTGGGAGTGGGTATGGCCATCACCATGGCGCCGTCCTGCACGACGTACTTCACGTCCTGGAGAAGGGCCGCGGCAGCGGAGCCGTGAAAAAAAGAAGGAAGGTCTGCGCGTGTCTCGGAAAGAGTCATGGTTCCGCGGTCCGAGAATCAGGACCCTTAGACTGAGTAATCCAACATCCCTGAAGGGCTTATGAACATCTCGTGTTGACCCAAAACCAAGGTACAAGCAAGGTATTTAGCCCTGGATGCATGTAGAACCCTGATTCGCCTCAGTGTTCTATGCATAATAACCTTCCAATTGACAAGACATGCTAGCGGGATCGCTGCAATTTGCGCCCAACTTCCATCCGTGTTGCGTGAATCGTGTCACAATCCCGTTCACTCGGCCACTCGCATGCCTCGCGAGCCCCCAGTCAGATTGAGTCACATCAAGTTTGGAGCTCTGCAATCGAGGCTGACCAACTCCAAGCAATGCCCTGCATGCCTTGAGCCGAGAACCACCTGCTTTCTGCACTTGTCTAAGGGTCTTGCGGGTGTCTTGCAGATGTCTACGGCATGTAAGGACAATAATCAATCTGATAACTATTGAGATGCCATCAGCTTGACATTGCCCGGCTCAAACATGCGCAGAACACCATCCACAATGAGGGTGTGAGCATCCCCTAAACAAGCCACACCTCTTCATCCACAAAAGCATTGGCCAAGAACGCCCGCCAAGAAACGATTGCTAGTTTTGTTAGGGGTCATAAAGCGCTGGCGCACTGTTCCAGTTGTTTTGATGCCAAAGATCAAGCCCCAGAAAGTCAACTGCAATGTTGCTGTCATTGCCTTTGTAGAACATGCCATAGTCAAGACTCTAATTGGTGCATGTCTCTTCTTTGGCCAATCCAAACATCGGTAAACCTCGCGTTGACAAAGTGCAGGGTGCGACCCTGCAAGCTCCACCGTTCCTCACTAGTCTGGTGACCTGGTGGGAGGTCAATTTCCCTTGTTTCCCTTGCGCTTCGCTTTTCAAGCTGAGGGGGAAGCATCCACATTGATCCAACGGTCCGTGATACATGGGGTGACCATTCGGGAAGCCACCCAAAACAGGATTTGACGTGGGACAAGTTACCCATGGTCAAAACCGGGGGCCCTGAATGGAACATTGATGCAACCGGCCATGGGCTTTTCAAATCCAAATCGGTTAGCCCCCAGTGAACATCCGATTCAATCCAACCACCAAAATAGGTTCTAGAATGAGTGGTGAACTCACCAACCAACCAAAATGGGATGCCGTTTAACAGTTTTAGACCCAAATGGGTGGTGCACCTACCCCCAACATGGTGCCAAAACCGTTTCGACCACCACAGCGCAACCTGATTCCTTTGTGACCCACGCGAGTTGAGTTCCACTCCTGCGAGGCGACTCCGTGGGCAAAGACATGCTCAGGCCTCGACGGCGGTTTCGAGCGGCGCTTTTGCTGCGCCAATGGCGGTTTGGAGCCGGGCCAACGGCTTGGACCCAAAAGTGAGCCACTTGCATCGTGATACTTGTTCATCTTCAGCCATCAGAAGAGCCCCAATGCGAGCAACGCTCAGCATGCATCGAGTAGATTGGCCAAAACAGGCGTCCATGCTTATTCTTTGCCGCCAAAATCCGGAATTGTCCAACAAAAGCGACTCAAGTTCAAGAACTGACGTGAGCCACAATCAAAACCCGGTATTACAGTGGTGAACCCAGAACCATGCTTCAAGAATCAAGAAGGCGGATATCCGCAGCTATTTCTGGCTGGGATTGGGCCCTAACTAACCTTCATCTACCCCGGTTTTGATTGTGGCTCAAGTTCAGATCGTGACACCATGTTTTGCGTGTTACGATGACCACCCTAAATGTTCCATTACAAGTTCCCAGGAAAATACCCAATCTGCCCCTGGCACATATCGATGTGCTCTTTGAGAACAAAGTGTATAAGATATTGAAAGAATCGCCTGTCCTGCATAGTCTGACCTTCTGTCCAAGTCTGATTCTGAAAATGTAGTTTTTTCGCACCCGCAGCTTCAGGCTCAAAACAAATGCTGAGCTTGGCTCATGTCAACTTGAATGCCAATCCACCGGCTTGGTCGTTGCGGGATTGTAGGCTGACATATCTGAAAGATGTCGATGAGCAACAAGTGAGCATGGGATACGGTGAGCGATGCAAAGCAAGACCGCCCTAGTTAACTTGGTTTGTAAGAAGTCTAATTGCAGTACTGCTGCCGAACAATTGCAACCACGACAAACAACACGACCAAACACGACAGAAACAACAAACAACAACAAACAACAACACACAACCACAAAACACAACCAACACACACACACAAACAACCAACACAAAACAACAAACAAGCAAACGCCACACAAACAAGACACACACACACACACTGGCAACACAAACAACCGAAACAACACCAACAGCACAAACAATGAACAAACAAACAAACAAAAACAAACAAACAGACAAACAAGCAATCAAGCAAACAAACAAACAAACAAGCAAAATAAGAAAACAAGCAAACAATAAAACAAACAAACCAGCACACAAAACAACCAACCAAACCACAAACAGAACAACTAACGCTAAAAGCGACAAACATGCAAACAAAACAAAACATGACAGCACATACCAAAACAGAGCAATCAAACAAACACACCCAACCAACCAACCAACCAACCAACGAAACAAACAAACGTACACTCAAGCAAGCAAACAAACATATACAACCGCAACAGCGACAGCAACAACTGCAACGACAGCCACAGCAACAGCAACAGCAACGGCAACAGCAAAAGCAACAGCAACAGCAGCAGCAACAGCACCAGCAACAGCAACAGCAACAACAGCAACAACTGCAACAACTGCAACAACAGCAACAACAGCAACAGCAACAGCAACAGCAACAGCAACAGCAACAGCAACAGCAACAGCAACAGCAACAACAACAACAACAACAACAACAACAACAACAACAACAACAACAACAACAACAACAACAGCCACAACAACCACAACAACCACAACAACCACAACAGCAGTAGCAAGAGCAACACAAAAAGCAGCAGCAGCAGAAAGAAGCAAAAGCAGCAGCCAAAGCAGCCAAAGCAGCCGAAGCAGCAGCGCAACAACACAACGTTCCGTGGAACATTTGAGTCAGCAGGTGTCTCCGAGTCTCCGATCTGCGAGTTCCTGTTCGGAGTTGCCTCGATCCGCGAGCCAAGCCGCTTCAAAATGTCGAAGAGGACGGGCAACTCCTCGCACCTTGGGGCCCCCTACTGCCCCCCAAAAAAAACGCCCCCTTGTACAGGGATCCGGATGCATGACAACACCTGAACATTGCAACTTGTAAATGGTGGTTTCAACCTTTATTTTGGTGCTGAAAAAGCAACATGTTTCAAATGGTGGCAAAATAAATTTCTTTTAAGGAGCCCTGTTGTAGGGCTTCGCTTTGAAAAATACCACGCAGCTCCAAAATTGAGTATGTAACAAAGGAGGGTTGAATCAAAAAGGTCTTGCACGGGCACATCAGGCATGAGTCTGTATCTCATGAGTCACCGCTCTGAACTCAAACACAAAAACAGCCAAAATCCCCCGAACTGGCTAGATCGTGGGCAAATCAATGGTTCCATCCATCTCGCCCCTGAAGCTGCTCACTTTACAACTTGGCCGCACGTTCACCCTGTCTTTGGCCTCTCCCATGCTGTGCGCTGCATCGTGTGGGTGATACTGCGACTCACTGTAAGCTTCGTGCCTGGTCGGTTTGAAAGGTCTTGGCAAAACAATACTTTGGAGCATTGCTCAATTCAGGTCAGCTATTTGCTCTTGACCTCCTCTCTGCAGTTCATAATTGTTGGGCAATCTGGATGCGACAGCAGGAAGTGCGAATGAGAATAAGGCGTTGAGGCTGAGTTCTGATGTTATTTCTTTATGACGTGGCACAGGCTCATGTTTTCTGCTTGTTTAGCTCGCGATCCTTGCCATCCTAGAGGAAAATATATAGATGGCAGTCACAAATCACTACTCAAACAGCGTGCCCTCTACGTGCCCTCTACTAAATTCACCTTTTCTCTCATCCAAATTGCGAAACCCGTGTCAATGCATCCCCATTTCTGAAGGGAAGGGGCAAGTGCCTTGTCCCTCCTGCACTTGGGTTTGTCTCAAAAAAATGAGCCGGCCAGGGGGGGGGGTCACTTCCCTTGAGTTCCCCTAAAGCCAACCTCAACAAATTGTCAGTGGGGGTTGGGTGTCCCATGTTTCCCTTGAGTTCCCCTAAAGCCAACCTCAACAAATATACAGTGTAATTGTTACTTTACTTTCGTTGGAACACCGGCCGTGGATTTCTCCCAGACTGCCACGCTGCGGCAGCGCCACCATGGCCTTCACGTAGCTCCCCAGCTCGGGGCCTCAAATTCGCGGGGATCAAGTTGACATCTAAAGCAAACCTCCCTGCGGTGGACGAAATCCATCCGCACCACTTTGAAACCACGGGGAAACATATTGTCTGTTGGTATTTACAGGAAAATCATCAGAAACCAGGATTTCTTAGGTGCCAAATGGATTGAAACCGCAGCGTTTGTTACGGTTTACGTTGGGGACTCGAGTGATAAACTGGGGCATCTGAACGGGTGCGTTGCGGGGATTTTGTGCCTTTTACCATCCGTTTCCGCTTAAACCTCCCACGAAACTGACCTTCGGGTGAACAAAAATCCTCTTGGGCCCCTTCAGGTGGTGCATCATCTCATTTCGGACGGATCCGAAAGTGTGCCACGGTGGCCACCAGTGTGGCAAAGAGATCTGCTGCCTCCTTCCCTACAGCTGGCAGCATGACCCGTTCAACACCTCACGCCGTCCTCACGCTTTCCAAGGATTGGAATCGCCAGATCCAGTTTAGCCGTCCCCTGTGCTTCCGCCCGTGGAATCGCAAGATCAGGGGCCCCAAATGAGGTCTGGTTCAGCGCTTGGAAGCTCATCCCATGGAATAGCGGCGCGCAGGGAGCGATGATCGATGCGAGGGGTGCTGGCAAAAATATGCAAAACCCACATGGGTGTGGCTCAAAGTTAAAGAGTTAGGGTTACGCGGCTTTAGTCTTTGTCTCCATTTACCAAGGTTCCATTTTGGGTTTTTGAACCACAGCCACATGGAATCGGAACCTGCGCCTTACTCGTTGCTGAGAGCGCTTGCGCCGGACGGCGCGAGTCAAGCTGGAGCTGCGGAAGTGCCACTCCGTGCGCCAGACTTGTACTAGTTGCGATGTTCGAGCTGGAGCTTTTGGGGGGCAGCTCCTGAATTGATACAGGGAAAGCCAAGGCGAGATTCTCAAAATAGCTGCGGCCCGACCTGAAACAAGTGCTTGAGTCCTATGCGTAGATCAAAGACAAAGGAAAAAATGCGGCCTCAGAAACGAAACGGTCATCGCAAGAACAGAGATGACTCAAACAAACTGCTCTCCTCACTAGCATGGCAGTTTAACAAAAAGACGACGCCTTTGACGATTGCCTGCACTGCGCAAAGCAATCAACCGTTTAACCTTCTACTTCTCTGTGCTCTGCCTGGAAGCAGCATGCTGAGCTGAGCACTGCAAAAGGACGAGGACTGCCAGAAGTGATCGCAGTAGTTGTTGTTGGGATCGCCTCAGAAGCCAATTGGGAACACTCCACTTCAACACAGTTTGCATGGAGCTTGATGTCCGCCAAGGTTGTTCCAACCATTAAACGGATCATCTCACGGCCAATCATCCATGGCGACTCACATGGCCCGTGAAATACGGTAGTGAAATACCCTCCCAACGAAATATGGTTTTGTACACAACCAATTGTCGCTCTTTCAAGGATGTCTTTTTGGTCTCCCAAAAGGTCACAAAACTAAACGCCGTTTCGCTCCTTTTCCCTGCCATTTGGGTATTCCACATTCTCAAGTTCTCTCAATAAGAGCCCGGCAATTGGCGGCCAAAGGATCGGAAGGCAGCAGCGTGCCCCTTGCGCGGCATGCCGTGCCGACAAGAGACAACGGGCTCACTGAGTCAGCCAAGGCGCTCGACACGGGCGATTTTTCCCAGGAACCTCGGTGGATGGATCTCACTCTCTGGAGCAACGCCTTCCAAAGAAGACACTTACTGGAAAAAATCCGAATGCTCATTCCGCAACCTCTCAGCACATCTTGAGATCCTGAGGCTATGGCCAATGCCGACACTTGGACATCCGCATGGTCGCAAGCATTGTCAAGCCACGAGCCGTCTCAAGCTGCCAGAAAGCAAGACAAACCGGGAGATCTTGGTCTCACCGCAAGCCATGGGATACTTAAGAACAAGAAGGGACCCAAGAGCTGAATGTTCCACCGAGCGGCGCGGTGTTGTCCACCTTCCACGAGCAGCCTTTGACTTTGAACCTGAGCCCCGAAGAAGCCAAGAGCCGGGATCTGGGCGCCGCCCTGAAGCCCACTGGGACCTGACCAGTCTATCAAAAAGCTGCCCGGCGCGAAACATATGGCTGTGGGTCAAAAATAGGTACCCAAATGGAGCATTCCCCTGGTTTAATTTTGACCCACGCCCAATATGGAGCCATAGGACAGCATCTTGACGGTGCTAAGCTAAGCTGGAGCCATGCCCTACTGATCGGCGCAAGAAGCCTTCTTTGCCGAGTTTGGGAGTGAACAAAACACACACTTCGCAAAACAAATGTGGGTACGGCTCAAATTTTAGCCACAGCTGCAGATTATCCATGTTTCCATTTGCCAGGGCACCCCATTTTAGGTTTCCCTTTTTGTTTTGACCCACAGCCATCCAGCGCACTAAGCCCCAAACGCACCGGAAGCTGAGGCCGCGGCATGCACGATGGCGTCAGGCTTACTGAATGGTTCAGCATGGCCAAATATTCGTAGAGCGCGCCAAGGGTGCCCAGCACCGCCAGAAATGTGGCAGTCCTTGGATCAGTTCTGATCATAAGCCAGGCTCCGACATCTCCAATGCCACGCTCCTTTTGGACAACTCTGATTCCAAGAATGGTGAACCCAAAACCCGTAAAGAGTTCCCAAGGCGGCCGGTTGGGAGTGCCCCTTACTACCCTTCACTTCCCCGGGTTTTTGGTGGACCTTGTCATATGGCTGTGGCCCAAAAAACCGGTACCAAAATGGACCCCTGGTAAGTGGAAACATGGACCAAAACCTGCGTAACCCCTCTTGTTTAATTTTGAGCCACAGCCATATTGTCCAGAAAAGTCGCGCAACGAATCACACATTGACCGCCGAAGTGCTTGTGCCCAATGCCAGTGGCTCCTCCTCCATGTTTGATCTGGGCGCAACTCGAATCTCGCGCGCGAAACGTGGTCAGCACGCTCGCCGAAACAAGAAGCTTCAGAGCCAAGAATGGCAAGTGCATGCTCACTCGAACTGCAGCAGTCCATTGAAAAACGACCCAAAGTTCCAACTAAACTTCGACACCAAGCTTGTCACAGGTCCAGGTGAAAAGAAAAAGCTTGGGCGAAGCGTGCCTTCTCTTCGGCTTGCCTGGATTGCTCTTGCAGGACTGCAGCAGAGTCTCCTGACCGTATCATGTGTCAAGCCTGGCCTGGCAATCATCAAGTGCGACCAGCGAACAAGTGCTGGGACTGGTTTATTTTCCTGCTCAAGCTTCCATTTGTGACGAGAAGGGCCAACAGGTGCATGGAACTCGAGCTTCTTAAAAAAAGAAGAAGCTTGAGCACAAAGCCGGAAAGCTCTGCACCTGAATTCACACCCTGTTTCAAGCCACAGGAAGTTAACCTTTGAAGCCTGAAACCGGAATATGCAATAAAATGCGGCGTTGGCCATACCACGCAAACGCGGCAGGCTCGGCCTTAAAGCTGAAGCTGTGGAGATGCCCAGCTTCTCTATCCATTTGGGTCTGGGTCAAAATGAAACCGCCAGGATATGGAGGTTTTAGTCGTTATTTCCAGTTGCCAGGGCTTCCATTTTGCGCACCCATTTTTGACCCACCGCCATTCCCACACAGATCCTTCCCTTCCAAAGATTCGACAAAACTGCAGCCTTTGTCGAGGAAGTGTCCCCTTGATCTTCAACTCCTCGAGAGGCCTCCAAGTTATTCACTGAAGGCCACAAGTCACTATATATATATATATACACATACGTATAACTATGTATTTATATATAATACGTATATATCAATGGTCCGTAAAGCCAAACCGCGGACTGCGGCCCTGACTCCCCCAAAGGCTCCACTCCTGCCATGGCGGTTGGCAGCGCGGCGCAGGGGCCCACCGCATTGCAGTTGGGAGCGCTCCGGGGCAGATCCCGCGCCAAACCTGCCAGAAAAACTCAGAGGTCACGTGGTTGGGGCGGGGTAGGGGGGTGGGGGGGTGGGGCAGGGGGGTGGGGGGGTGGGGCAGGGGGGTGGTGGGGTAGGGGCGTGGGGGGGTGGGGCAGGGGGGTGGTGGGGTAGGGGGGTGGGGGGGTGGGGTGGGGGGGGGGGTGGGGGTGGGGGTGGGGGTGGGGATGGAGGTGGGGGTGGAGGTGGGGGGGGTGGGGTTTGACTGGTGGCAATCAGCTACCCCGTTCGGGTTGGTTTGGTATGGTTTGGATGTTCGGGGTAGATTTTACCCACTATCAAAGTCACACTTTTTAGGTGTAGGTCAAAGGGAAACACTCCCAGTTTCTGCCTTCAACCCCCAAAAACAGGCACAATAATGACCCCAGTCAGGGGTCAAGTGGTTGCCTTCTGGCAATTAGCTATCCCGTTCAGGTTGGTGGTTTGGACGTTAGGGAGCAATGTTCCATTCTCTACAAGAACCATTCAAATCCCCAAACCAATCCAAACCACGGTTGCCTGCTGGAAGGTTGCTGTTTTTTCTCGGCAAACCAACAAGCACCCCGATATGATGAGTCAAACCGGTCTCCAAGGCGCAGGTATTGAACTTGCCAGTTGCACGCTGCGTTGGTACCAGAACGGCCCTCTCGGGAATGGTAGCAGAACTTCGGGCCTTGCCGCATTCTGAGCGGAGCCTTCAGAGTGCCACTGACATGCTACTACTTCAGTCGAACCGTGAATCAGGCGCATCACTATCCTTGC